TTTTTTTTTTTTTTTTTTTACATTTAACTTGCTTAAAATTCAAAATAAAAAATTTTCTCAATTACCAAAAAAAAAACAAAATATTAAAAAAAAACTAGAAATATTTTTTTCTCAATTTCCAACAAAAAAAAAACACAATATTACACAAAAAAAAGAAAACAAAAAATTATCAATTTCCAACAAAAAAAAACATTTTAGATTGTTCTTTTAGCTTCCAACTTAAACATATTATCATTGCTGTTTTTAAATTTTGATATAACCGTTCGTGGATCCGCGCAACTTACCCATGCAACATATAGAATGCAGTTAGCAATACAGTATAAAAGATTAATGTTCTCATTAAAAGAGCAACGTACAAATAAGTTTACAAATAAAGAATGTAAACATGAAAAACTAAAATGCAGCTAGGGTGTTCCATTCGTGGATCCGGTCATGATATAGCGCATCCCAACCCTCTACGCTCGCTGTGCGAATGTTGTACCACCGAGGTATAATCGGTGGCACTGGAAAATCGGATGACATGTCTAGTCGGATGAAATGTCTGTATGACGACCCAAGAAACGTAATAGCTAGCTCTCTGACCGGTGTGGTGACAGTTTCACGCGACCGCCAAGGGAGAACCGTGGTACAAGGATAATAAGCTTGACTATGCACTCCCAGGCCGAAATGCATGACTGCGCATTTGTAAATGTTTGCAACGGCAAACAGATCTAGGGGCGCGTCAAAATAATGATTTTGGCCGCAAGGTCCACCTCCCCACCGGATACGCCGCAGAGCGCCATCCAAGTCATCCTGGTACACATGACGATAAACATTTCGGTTAGAGGCAATTTCGCTGTACATCAACTGACGCACCAAACCGTAGTTGTCTTCGCCCATTTGAAAAACATCAGCCACAACCCGGAATCCGCAGTTACCATCTCCGACTACATCATTCCACCCTTCCAAGTACGACATGATGATCGCAGGTATCCTTTCCTTGTACGGAAACTGATCAACATCGTTTCTTCCTATTCACCATATAATTATAGACAGTTAAGAAGGCAGGAGTAACACTTTAAAACTATGTGGAATGTAAACAACCAAAACGTACCAGTTCTCTGGGGCATATTCACAGACGATGAAGATTGACTACGACTAGATGACGATGTCCGACCACGAGCACGACCACGACCAAGACCACGGATATACTCAAACGCACTCCTGTTCCGCCGTTGTCGACCTCGAGGACGGTCAACTCCTTCGGGTTCCTCATAATCTAAGGTAGACGTGTGGAACATGTCATGAAGTACATGAGTAGCGTCACGAATAATAGAAGGATGGCTGGAGGACACTCGGTCGTACATCGAACGAAACTGCTCCAACTCCTCCTGTTCACGGTCGGCCGTTTGAGTGTCTGCATGCTCACCAATAACAAGCGTCCTCCAGAATGAATGGACCTGATCAACATATAACGACGCCCTTTCTTCTGTAATAACGCGGTGAATGGTGCATGCGCAAGGTAATCCATGAGTTACTGAAATAGCACACCCACACCGAGCATACACTTCGTCAGCCAAGTCCCTCATCCTGTTCAGCTCAGTGAGAATCAACCCCAAGCAATAGTGCGACACACGACCATGGAGAATCTTAAATATAAAATGGCTATACATCGTACCATGTCGTCGTCTGGAGTCCTCTAGAGAGTTCCTGATGTCGTTCTTCTGAGTTTCAATTGACTTGTTAAGTCTATCGAACAGTGTATCCAAAGCAGCGGTCGATGAATCAATCCAGTCCTTGGTAGCTCTATGAGCGCTCTCAACTCTACATGTTGTAGTGTTCCCAAAATGAAGTACCTGGTTTGTCCAATATTTGACAAACTTTTCCCTGTGAGGGATCCATTGCTGCATCACATAGTCCACCAGTGCCGGACACCACTGGTACGAATCCCTGAAGTTAGCCAATGCTCGCTCATACGCTTCCTCTGTGGTAGCCTGTAGGATCTTCCGCCACTTACCATTCACCAATCTCTCTGCCATTTCCAAATTCTTGTTGAAAAGGTTGTAGGCTTTCACTTTCACGCAGTTGTTGATGTGCCATGTGCACAATAAGTGGTTCGATTCTGGAAACAGCTCTACTATGGGGGCAAAGAGACCTCCCTCACAGTCGCTGACGATGGCTGCTGGATGAACATTAGGCCCGATGTAGTTTCTCAGCTTCTCCAACACCCAATAATAACTTGGAGCCGTCTCATCCTTGATGATTGCATGACCAATCAGAAAGTTCTGGTTCGTTGGAGTCATCCCCATGATCTCAACCAGTGGGAACTTGTACTTGTTTGTCTTGTACGTTGAGTCGATCAAAATCACAAATGGCCAAGACTTGATCATATCAGCACAATCAGGATGCACAAGGAAAAGATGAGTCACCTCCGCTGTATCTTCATCAGAATCAAACCAGAACAGGTAACCACGTGATTGTGCCTGGTGTAGCAGCTGCTGTATAGGGTTCCTTCCCTCTGACCGTTCAAACCTGAGTTGCTGTCTGACGTTGTAGATGTGTCTTCGGTTTGGATGGTCTTCTGGAAATTTCTCTAACACAGATGCTAATATTTTAGCAGGCTTCACTTGAGCATCACTCATTTCTTTCACAACTAGTTTCGCAGCAGGACTTAAGCCGCTCAGTTGTCGATGACCCTCTTCATATACTATCATCTCATGGTTGTGATACCCCCATTTAGAGTAACCAATCACTTCCCAACCGTCACGACTCCGTAGTTGTCGAACCTTTACTCTGAACTCACACCCACAACCTTTCCGCTTTGTATCAAACCGAGTGGCTGTACGAAAATCTCTTTCTTCTATTTTGCAATAACGGTCACATCTCAAAATGCGATCCATTCTACCATCCCGTTGAGATTTATGAGTTACTACTACCAAGCAAAATCCAGCTGCAATTGCAACCTGTTTTGCCCAATCAATCGCCTGTTGAGCTTCTTCGAATGGACCATCATGTCCAAATATCCCACTGTAATCATTTCCGTCTCCACCATATTCCTGCATCAATTATATATTACAATAAATACATTTAACGGATAATACATTTAATTTCTATATTTACACAGAATTAACACAAAAAAAAGCATAATTATATATAATCAAACTTAATTTTTATAAAAACCCAATTCGAATTTTCAAACTAAATTTAAAAATATACCATTTCGAATTTTCAAACTTAATTTTAAAAAAACCTATTTCGAATTTTCAAAATTAATTTAAAAAAAACCCATTTCGAATTTTTTTAAAAAATCATTTTCGATTTTTTTTTTCAAAAAAAAAAATAAATAAAAAACAACAACAAAATCAAAAAAGAAAAAAAAAATTAATTTATAAGGGTGGCGTCTGCCAGGGCTGCCACAGCCACTGGACTGGCGCCTGGCAGGGCCGCCTCAGCCAGTAGAGTGGCGCCTGGCCAGGACGCCAGTCTGGTGGTCTGGGCGTCTGGGCTGGACGCCACTCTGGTGGTTCTGGCGTCTGGCTTGGACGTTCAGGCTACGGTTTGGGCGTCCATCCTAGGCGCCGGAGCCACTCCGACGGTAAACCGTGAATTTTAACGGTGACTTACCTCGTTTTCCGTCGACGACGACGTACCTCCGGCGTCCCCCGCATCTCCGGCCTGCCCTCCGGTCTCCCCCGGCGAGCCAGTACGACTCCACATTTTTTAAACCGAGATTATTTCAATTTTAGAAAATGGGCATAATGGTCACACCAAATCATATTTGTGGGCTTTATATGGTAATTTGCGGGCGATGTTTAGCGTTTCACTTTTTTTTATCCTGCCTGGGTTTTCTTCTTCTCGGTGGAGGTTTTTTCACTAATATCCATGCACCATGCATAGTCTTGGACTTCAACTATAGACTTAACCACAATTGATGGATGCTCGTGAGACTGATTATGGACTTGTTCTTCAGCATTCGAATTGTTAGCTTTCTTAGGATAATTGTTGCCTTGGTGCCCAATTTTACCACAATCAAAGCAGATCATCTTCAAGCCCTCATATTAAATTCTCCAAACTTTTCCCTTCAACCAAAACTTAGATAAGCAAGAGTTTGCTCAAATTGAGTTCAACACTCAATCTTGTGAATTGCCCCCTTTGATCCAAAGTTGTGTTGTTATCTATTCGAATGACTTTTCCAATTTTGCTCCCTATTTTATGGAGCAATTCTTGATCAAAGTATTCAACTGTCAGATCACGCAGTCAGAAATCTAATTGGAGAATAATCGGGAATGAAATTAGGCACCCATTTTCGAATAGTGAGGTAGTTATCATCCAACAACCATGATCCTTGGGTGAGAACATGGTTATAACCCCTCAAATTAGAAAACCGAGCAATAAAGAAATCATGGCCAATATCAGTGAGTATTAACCCCCTATTAATTCCCATTTTTCCTTCAATATTTTCAAGAGAGATATGTAACCATTTTTGCTATCATGCATCTTAATGATTAGTGTATGCTGTCATGGTTTACGAATGCGCTTCTTTTCCTCCTTTGAAAGAAGGATTACATCCATGTCAGGTGGAGGTTCATCATCTGAAACCTCATCCTCTTCTCCCCTATCCAGGTGATGGGGAGATTTTCCATACAACTCAGTGTTGCGAACCATGTCTCTGAAGGACAAGGTCGATTGAACATTTCTTGAGGTGCTATCATTCTAGTTCAGGGGCAATTGGGGATTGTCGTGAGTATTCTCTTCAGGAGGTGGATCTTTATTGAAGATCAGATGAGTGATCTTTCTCTTTGGTTTTTTGTTTGAGCTTGTTAATTGGTCTCTTTCTTCAGTGGAATTTTCATGTGCATGGGTTTTTTCAGCCATGGCAGAGAAAAGCATCGAGAGAGAATTTTGCCGAATCGTTCTCACTACATGTAACTCATAGTAATATAAAAATATTTGTAACATTTTTAAGGTATGGAATAAAAATTAAGCATTTCAAAGTTTATATTCATGATTTCTAACAAACAAACCAGATTGGAGTTTCAAGGGTTTTAGACCACCAAAGACCATTTTTTAAAATTTCTCGACCTAGAGACCAAACTAATACTACATATCTTAGATACGGTCTAGTCTGGTCCGGTCTATTTTTCCGGTACTGGCGTACTCCGTATCAAAGGCAGCGAAAACAACACACAATAAACCCAAAACCCTGGTTTAAAAAAAAAAAAAACCCAGCTTTAATACTCAAATCAGACCAGAGTATTCATTCATTCATCATTTGGAATTCTGCAAATTGAAATTGTTTCTCCAGCATTTCAATTTGCAGAATTTGCATGGTTTTTTTAGGGTAATTTAGAAACCATCACCAACAATGGCGGCAACCGATTCAAGTAAATTGGAATGCAGCACTTGCGGCTACCTTGGTCTTTACATGGACGAAGACGATGGCCGCTTCTACTGCACCAACTGCAACTCCCAAGCCGCCGACATCATCGACAACGCCAACGCCGACGAAGATTTCATCGACAAAGGCACCCATGGCGGCGCCATCTACAACGCCGCACACAGACGCGCTGCCCCTGTTCCTGCCCCCGACACTGAACCCCACGAAACCCATCTGGGTCCCACTGAACCTTCCGATTTTGGGAAGACCCCTAAAAGGGGTGATTTCAGTGAAGAAGATTACTGCAATGCTATTCGTCAGAGATATGTTTTGGGTCTTCAGTTAATGCTTCAGTTTCAGTGTGAATCTCTTGTGCAGAATTTTGGTGTTACTCCTTTGATTTGTGGGATTGCTGCTTCTATTTGGTTGCGCTTTCTTGCTTCTACTCGGGTTTTTGACGATGATTGGGCTGATAAAACTATCATGGATTCTGAAACTGGTATAATAAATTTGTTACTATTTGTCAATTTTGTTGTTTTTTGTTTTGTTGATGATTTGGGTATGGTTGCATTGATTAATTTGTGATTATCTTATACTATTGACTTGTGCTGAATATAGTACAGTGATTGATTTAACAAGTATTGTTGCATTGGTTATTTTGAGAGTTTTATTGGTTATGGTTGTAATTTGTTATCTTGAGAATTCCATGTGCTACCAAATATAGTGTAGCAATCGATATATTGGTATGACTGCATTGGTTATCTTGAGAATGTCTTAGAATATTGACTTGTGCCCAAAGTAGTGTAGTGATTGATTTTTTGGGTGTGGTTGCATAAGTTAAATTGAGTATGGTTGCATAAGTGTCGATTAGTGCTGCTTGAGTAATTAGAGTTTTGGTTTTGCGGTTTGAATGTAGAGTAATTATATATGCTAGGTGGTATATCATGTATTATTAAGCTTAAGTTGAGACCAGTCTGTTTGAACCTTTGTTTTCTCAGGCACTTCAACATTTATCCATTTACTTCGTATTAGTTAGTCATTTGGCCTACGTATTCATGTAGAGGGGCTTGTTGTTTTCAGGTGAAAAGAGATTACAAGTCGGAAGCCATTGTAAAAAGGAGCCTCGAAATATGCTTAACGAACGTATGGTAGTCATATGGATTAAATCTTTGAAAAAAAGGATACCCTTATCATGCTCCTTGGCTGTTTCGTATTTGGCCTGTCATATTGCTAAAGAACCGGTTCTTCCAACCGATATTATAAAATGGTCTATTGAAGGGAAGCTTCCTTATTTTGGTGCTTTTCCTAAGATTGCTGAATCCATCATACAGATTGAGAAATACCATCAACATGCTTCGGTGGTATGTCCATTAAAAGCAAGTTCTATGTTTAAGCCTAAACAACTTCCTTTACAGAAGTTGGAGTCAATGGCAGCATCTATAGCTCAATCTGTAGGCCTGAATTTGCCCCCAGTCAACTTTTACCGAATAGCTTACCGTTATCTAAAGCAGTTATCTCTTCCTGTGGAAAAAATTCTTCCATATGCCTGCCGCATACAAGAGTGGTCAATGCCTCCTGATTTATGGTTGTCTGCAAGTGAGGAAAAGCTTCCGTCTCGTGTTTGTGTGATGTCAATACTGATTGTCACAATTAGGATTCTATATAATCTCAATGGTTTTGGCAAGTGGGAATCTACTTTGTCTCCTCCAATTGTCTCTTCAAAGGATGGTCAGGCAGCAAGTTTTGACAAGTCCAATGCAAAGAAGGGGGCTGAAGAAGCACCTACAAAATTGAGTGGAGAACCTGAGACAAATTTGTTGTCTGTTCATAAATTTGAATCTGATAGCACTGAGCTTTTGCGAAACCTTGAAAAGAAATACGATGATTTGGGTGATAAATTTGGTAATGTTGGAGCTCTTTTTTCAAATGAAAAAATATTCACTGCCCTAGCTATCTACTTCCAAATATGTATGTATGTTTTGTTGTGTTGTTTCCTTTGTTACTTTCTCATTGCCCTTTTATTATTCTCTCGAGTTGGCAGAATATTCCAAAGATTTACCAACCTATCTTCAGTATTGCAAGGATGTCGTATTTGCTGGTGTTGAGCCATTATACAAGGATCCTACTTTTATAGAAGAACTTTGGGATTTTTATGAGAAAAATCGAGAGGTACATTGATTATTTTTCCTGACAAGCCATAGCCTTTCTTTATCAAAATATATATATCTGCATTGGCTACTATCTTCGATTTACAGATTTCTATTATTTAGATAATAACTTGATTTATGCCTTCATGAAGTGGTTGGTGCTATGGCTTGAATACTTTGTCACTAACACTCCAATATCATGCCAAATCCTTCTTTTTCATTCATCCAACATCTAATTGATGGATACTTCTAAGAATTCAATTCTATGGAAAAATCTGAACAACATCGATTGAGCAGTTAATTCTCCTGGAGCTTAGTTTTTACATAGAGGAACATTTTACATGGAAGCACTGACTTCTTCACAGCAACATAGTGTATTTGGTGAAGTGCGAAACTCAGTGCAACAAAACAAGCTACTTGATCTAAATTCATCACTTCAGTCCTTTTTTGTCCTTCTGATTTTCTGAATTAATTCAATTAAATTAATAATAGCTCAATTACTTTGGTAGAATGAATGTGAATATTTCATTATAATACTCCCTTCAACTCTTTTTTATTTTTACAAAAGGGTTTGGTACAATTGTTCGCTTTAATATTGGTGAGGTATCCTATCAAATAATAAGGCAGGGTAAAGCATGTAATTGTTTGAATATTTTTAAATGGAAAGTGGTCAGTGGAGCATATGACATACTTTGAAAGAGAGATAAATTTGAGTAAATGTTTGTGCCCTTAAAGTATTTTGGGGAATTAAATAGGTGATTTTTACCCCCAAAAAGAAATTTGAAACAATATAGGATACCATTATTAAGTAACAACAACAACAACAACAACAATAACAATAACAGGGCCGTAGTCCCAAAATGATTTGGGGTTAGTTAAATAAAATGGGCAGAAAAAAAGAAATGGTTGTATAAAGTAAGAACAAAAAAAAGGGTATATACAAAGTAATACAAGAGTTCTAATGGACTGTTAAGTAAGTGTGAATAAATTGAGGGATGGAGGTGAGAGTAGCTATTATTTTACTAGTCAAAACAAACATGTTTTAAATGATTTATAAGTATTCTTGCAGAACGTGGTGCCTCTAGTCTATGATGTGTGTGCCACAATATTATGCTTTGGGCTTCGATTTGTTTGCCTATGCTTAAACATATATGGGAACAACTTGTAAGGTTGTCCAGATTTTCCAGTAGTTTAGAATTTGCTGTGATTTCTTGTTTTTGCCAACTCTTAAGTGGTAACTAGCATTAGTAACTCTTAGACGGTAGAAATTTAGTTTCTTTATTGAATTTAAGCACTTCTATTGTGATGAATATACTGAGAATATATTGTACATCTTTGTTCTTATTGTTGTATTTTTTTTTGAAAGAATCGTCGTATGTTTTTATTAACAAGGAAGTTCTCTTCAGGACATTAAAACATCTGGGAAGTTTGAATCTGGATCAAATCAGAAGAGGTCAAGGGACAATGATAAATTTTTCAGTACCCCATCAAAGGGCAGCAAGAAGCATAATGATAAAGAAATTTCCAGCTCTCCAGCAGCTGATAGTGGGTTTCAGTCTAACTATAACAGCCCCAACTGGGATCCAAGTGCTGATAATACTCAGCAAAGTTCACAAACATGTCAATTTCCAGCAACTATGGATAGAGATGAGTCTTCATCTCAAAATTTGGAAGATATAGCTCTTAAATATCTGAAAATAGATATGGAAGAACACCGTTTCTGTTACATACCACCAAGGGTGGAAGTCAAGAGACGCGACCACCTGCACTATTCACGGAAGAGGGGTGATGGTTCTTTAGGCTACGTTGCCCATGCTGATTACTATATCCTACTTAGAGCTTGTGCAAAAGTGGTCCAGGTTGATATTCGTATTATGCATATCGGTGTACTCAGTTTAGAAAGAAGATTGGGATGGATTGAAAAGTGGATTGATCATAGTTTGGTGGAAAAATGTTCTGGTGGCCCTGTTGAAAATGTGGATGATTCAGAAGATGAATCTGTTAATTTATCTAATATTAGTATATAATTTGTTGGTGGGAAAAATTGCTAGACTTTGGGGATCATCAGCTAATGAAGTCATCAGCAGTCGTTAGTGAGAGGTAGAGACAATTTTCCAGTGTTTGCTCACAAGAATGAATATCTAGAAGAGGCTTCCCAGTATGCGCAGTGAGATATCCCTGCTGTCTTTTACTATCCTAGTGTTGAAAAGGTGTGGTGAGGGTGGTTTTGTGCTGGTCAAGCTTGAAGAGAAACAGCTTCCAGCTGCAGATTGGTCAGGAGAATTTTCCAGAGCTGCTACAGTTGCAATGCGTTTTGGGGGGATAAATATCAGAGAACTGCATGAGTGCACTTTGAGATGGTCTTTTGTTATGTACAATTGTACAGCAGGCAGCAGAAGTGTGCAGATTTTCTATGATTATCATGAACTGTGCGAGGACACTGTGAGACAGTCTTTTGTTATGGTTCGGCTGGCTGTAAGCTATCTTGCAGCATACCAACATTACCAAGAGGCAGTAAGCATAAATGGTTCTGGTTCAGGATGGTGCAGACGGGGGCAGTGACTCTTGGTAGCCCCTTTCAGCATGTCAATCAAGGATAAACACTGATGATGTGTTCTAGGCTCATTGGATTTGTGGATAAGGGTTGTTTTCCGTAATCAAGAATGCTTGCAAGCTAGTGAAAGAGCAGTGAGAAGTCTTTGATTTTTGAGGCAAGAGTCATGGACTTGGGACTCTTGTTTTCGCAAGACATAGTGATATGCTGCAAGGCTTGCAACTAAACTTTCTGCTATACAATTATCTTCAAGTCATTAATATGCTCAAAGTGGTTAATTTTTTTTTAATTTTGTTTTAATTTTTTTTACTATTTTTTTTTGTTGGGGGGGGGTGTGGGGGAGGAAAGAGGTAAAGATCTTATTTGTTTTGTTCCTTGCTTTTCTATATTCATTGCGAGTAAACCAAATGTTTCAATTTCTATCTCATAGGAAGCCCTAACCCTTCATGTGTTTAGGTGGTTAGCAGTTTGACATCGATTATGGATGTAATTGCTTCTGTTTTCGTTTCTTTATCTATATCTATATATTACTATAAAGTGGAGTTTGGCAACGCTACTCTAACAAATTTTAATGAGTAATGTACAATAGATTTCTCTATGGTCATGCCTCATGCTTGCTTTTGATCTTTGTTTCTATATAAAAGAAAGCCTGCTTTGTTCTCAATATTGCCTCTTCTCCAACCTCTTATGTATATAGAGTTGGGATTTGTACTGTCAAATAGAAATTGCCCATGCTTAAGATTTAGCTTCTCCCTGTTCTCAATTGTAATATACTCCATATATGCATCACAACTAGTTTATTTGGTAAAATAGGGATGAGTGGTGGTGGTCGTTGTGCCTATGACTCTTCATCAGCATCCTTTGGGTTTCTTTTACACCAATGCACCATAATAAATGTGAGATTCACGCCTTCAGCATAAGTTTAGATTATTTAAATTTACTCATCTGGTGAAGAAATACACAAGTTTCTAATACAATATTCTGTTTTTAAACTGCAGATTTGGAAATATGCAAGTGAAAATTTAATTTTATTTAAAGCTAAAACATAGGTGATGTGATGCTTGACTGCATGAAGGTAATAGAGTATTTGAAATCTTGATTACTTGCTATTTTTGCTTATTGTACATCTTCCTAGAAGAATTGGTATTTGGCATTTCTTCTTTGATAATTTATAGCTTATAACCCTCATATAGGTTTTATTAGGCGTGTTCAATACTGTTTAATTTCTTCCATCTTTTATGAAGATTTGTAATCATCATCATCAAGTTACTCCATAGTGGATTGGTGGGTTTCCTCCCGGCACTCCGGCTCCCATGGTAAATTCGTTCTTATTTCTTTGCTTTACTTGCTTTCGTTCTTCGTTGTTGTTGATTGTCGTTAATCATAAACTTGCTAGCACATTCGATAATCCTTTCACGCAAAGGTAGTAAAGTAGATTTTAGTTTGGAAAATTTGAGTTCAATTTGTGCTTTTCATGTGTATTTTAGTTGAAAAGGTATCTTTTAATTTTTATGTTTTTCTAAATATATATTTGTTTTTAGTAATTCGGAGAACTCATACCCTTTTTCTTGTAAATTTTAGGTTCTAGGATTTTGGGAGAAAATAGATAGAAACTTGATTTAGGTTGTATAATTTGGATCATTGGTTGCAAATGTAGAAAAGTAGAATTAAGTTTGGAAAATTTGAGTTCAATTTGTACTTTTCATGTGACTTTTAGTTGAAAATATCAATTTAGTGTTGCTTTGATTGGGGAAGAGAAATTGTGTTTGTTGTTGGGAACTAAAATTTGCAATTCCCAAATTGGTTTCTGATTGGGAGTTTAAGTTTGTGATGCTTCAGAAACAGTTTGTTTCTAAAGGTTTTAGTTTTTCTAATTTCAATCTAGAGCTGTCCAACTCGGGGGAGTGCAAGTGTGTATATTTTTGGTCCCTTTTTTTTTTTTGGTTATCTGATTAATTTCATGAGATCTTTCTTCTAATATACTGCATCAATGTCCTGTAATAGTGTAATTACAGAACTTATGATAATTTTGGGGTTAGTGCATATCTTGAGAGATGTTTCTTGCTACATTTGGTAATTGACATTATTTTCTTTTGTTTTGTTGGTAATCTATGCTAGGTTTGTGTACCCAAAGGAGCCTGTCCGTTTTGCAAGTCATAAGGTAAATATGTTAGTATTAACTCAGTATATAGTATATTTATGCTCTTTACACTATCTCATGAGGCACCTTTTTGCAAATTGGTGTGATCACTAATAAAGTTTATGTTTTTTTTCCCAATTAATGATGCTTTGATTGTTTTTGGGTATCTTGATTCTGTTAAGGTTTATATAACAAGTTTTGACAATGTGATTCCTTTTTATTTGTACTTTAGAGTTTAGATTATTAACTTTCTGCCTATCTACTGTACTTTAGAGTTTAGATGTTGGGTCAATATTGGTGGTTTGTAGGACATTTGATTTTGTGAGCTTTGCATTGATTGAGATTGGTCTTTTTCCAAAAAAAAAAAAAAAAAAATCATCGTTTTTTTCTTTTTTTTTTAAAAAAAAAAAAATGTATGTTTTAATTTTAAATTTCACATTGCTCCAATTATCTCATTTATGTTTACCATTTTTCTACAAATATTTTGTTTTCTCATGAATCCCTCTGTTTTTGTTCCATATTAAGTGTTTGCTAATTTCTAGGTTTCAAATCCCCTACATTAAGATGCTTGGATGCAGTTGCCATTGAATTAGAAGAGGAAGTTGACTCTAATGGAAAGAATCAAGGTAGTGAAACAAACTCTTGAAATTTATTTGTTGTGTTAAATGCTTGCTTAAAAATTCAAAATTGACAATTAATATCCTCTTTTAGGCAAGAACTTATGTGCTAATTCCAATTTAAATGTTAGGGGCCGTTTGGTGGGGGGTATTCAACAAAGGGAATGGGAATCAACTACCATGAATCCCTTTGTTGAAGTTTGATAGACAAAATCAATCATTCCCTTTACCCCTCCCATTACCCCATTTTCCTCTATCTTCATTCCCCACCACCCCCAAGGGAATCACTCAAACCCCCAAATTCCTCTTCACCCAACTACCTTGACCAAATTTCTAACTACCTTGACCACTCTTAAAAACACCAACTGACTACCGACGCCACCACCTAGCCACCATCCAGCCACCCTAACACCACCAGAACCACCGCCTAGCCACCCTAACACCATCAGAACCACCACATATCCACCATCCACCCACCAGAACTACCAAGTGACCACCTGAACCACCGCTAACATCGTCGACGCCCCTGCCGCCACCATTCAGCCACCAACGAAACCACCTAAAACCAACATTCACCACCGAAACCACCCAAATCCACCCGGAAAAAACCCATCTTCCCCAAATTACCCAATTTCATTCGAATTTACCTTCAACCACCACGTTCACCACTCATTACCCACGAAATCACCACACCCACCATGAAAACCACCCCAAAAACCCTAACCATCTCAACAAAAAAAACTCATAAACAACCCCCAAACACCCAAAAAACAACATATGAAACTCTATTAACAATCAACCCAGTAGATCTATCAAACAAATCACTTAAAAAAGAGAGAGAAGAGGGACAACATCAACAATTAGAAGGAAAGGGGCGGCGGTGCGGTGGACGAGGGAGGGCGGCAGCGCGGTGGACGAGGGGAGTAGGTCGTCGGCAGGGAGGGGTGGGGACCGACGAAGTGGGTGGGGATCTCGGCGCCGCTGGGGGGAGGGGGTTGGAGTTGGTTGTTGGCAGTGAGTTGGTACTTCCATGTGAAGTTCCATTTCATTCCCTTTCTCCTTTGTGAACAAACAACCTATAATAAATAGGGGAGTTGCTTTCCATTCTCCCTCTTTCCCTTTCTCTTAGTCATTCCCTTTCCTCTTGGTGAACCAAACGGCCCCTTAGTATACTCATTTTATGATTCTTGATTCTTCTAAGGTGGAATATTGAACTTATAATACTCCCTCCGTTTCTTATTTCTTGCAACAAAGGGGGGTTGCACATTTCCCAAGTCAAAAGATTTTAGGGAATAAATCACGAGTAAAGAGCATGTGATTAACTTTAAAAAGGGAGGGAAGTAATAAGGGACCAACCTTTTTTTTTTTTTTTTTACTTTAACATGGCAGAATTGGGGGGGGGGGGGGTGTACTTTTCCCTCCCAGTTTTTCACCAAAATTTAAAATTTCTGTTTTCCTCCTTCAAATATTTCCCTCCTCTTGCTTTTTCCCCAAGCAAGAGAGGGTATAAATAGCAGTAGTTTTCAGCACAAAGTACAATTCATATTTGTTCATTACACCACCATTTTAAACTACCACCTAATGAATACATTTTAGCATTTAAATCAACAAAAGTTAGCACTAAAACAAGTTCAAAAACTACCATAAATACTCCCAGCCTACATCCTAACATCTAATTAGTGCTAAATTAGGGGCAGCGGCTTCATTTTGAAATCTTCAAAAATCAGGTTCCGTTTGAGTTGTCCAAAAAGTTGCATCCTCCACTTCATCACCATCGCCAGACCTAGTTCAGAATAAGGTAGTATCTGTTAATGGATATGGATATGGAAGATTTTTTTTCATTAGAACAGTTGCTAGGAGAAGAACAAGAAGTTTTATCAAGTAAATCATCACTGTCCAGTACAGATTAAGAGGATGAGTATGCTGCAGAATGGGCATACTCTCAGATTTTACAGAATCAGCACACAACCCAACAAGGAGAGAAGAGGAGGGACCTTACCATTGAACAAAAAAGGCAAATAGTGGATGTCATTCTGTTAAAAATGCAAGGAGGTGAGCTGCCAAAGGGTTTTTTATCACAACAAGCAAGACAACATGACATTCATAGATCTACAATTTCAAGATTGTATGCAGACATTAAGAAGCAAATGGCCCAGGGGAATGTCATTGATGTCAGATCAAAAAAATTGGGAAGGACTGGTCCAAAACCCAAAGAGTACTCTGATGAATGGTTGCAATCTGTCCCATTATACAAAATAATGCACTGAATGTTTCACATTCAACGATTCACAGATTAAGGAAGAAAGGAAGACTGGAAGAAAGGAAGACCGAAGACACATAAGCACAAACCATCCTGCATTGACATCCAATCATAAGGTGGCAAAGTTGAAATGGGTATTAAGTCACATAAACCCAATTCCAACTCAAGGGGACCCAAAGTTTGTTGACATGCAAGAAGTAATTCACATAGATGAAAAATGGTTTTACTTGAACCCTGAAACCAGAAAATTCTACCTCCTTCCAAAAGAGGAAGATCCTTACAAGTGTCAACAGTCAAAGAAGTTTAAGATCAAGGCCATGTTCATGGCTATGATAGGCAAACCAATTTATGCAAGAGATGAGACTCTAGTGCATGATGGAAAGTATGGTATATTTCCATTTGTGAAAAAAAGATGGCAAAGAAAAAAAAGCAAAAACAGAGAAGCTGGTACATTGGAAACTAAGGCTGTACAGAATGTCAACAAAGATGCAATAAGAGAAATGCTAATGGAGCACATCATCCCAAAAATACACCAACAATGGCCAGAGATTGTCCCTAAAAATGTCAAAATACAATGGGACAATGCAAGGCCTCATCAAATCCCTAAAGATGAAGAGTTTATTGCTGCTTGTCATGTTAATGGTTTTAATATAGAAATGGTGTATCAACCAGCTCAATCTCCTGACTTGAATGTCTTAGACCTAGGGTTGTTCAAAGTCATTCAATCCCTACTATATCAATCCTTCCCCACAACTTTGGATGACTTAATCAAAGAGGTGACCAATGCATACAATGCTTTTGAGGCTAAGGCAAAGAAGTACATATGGCTAACATTACAGTCAGTCATGATAAAGGTCTTGGAAAAGCAGGGAGGAAACAACTTCTCACCACCTCATATGAAGAAGAAGAAGCTTGAGAAGTTAGGTGTACTTCCTAAACATCTACATGTTCCTAAGCAGTTGATACATGAAGCTGTCAATTATCTAAACACCATGTTCATCCCAACAACAAATGCAGCAGAAGAAGAGCAACAAATGGAAGTTGATGCTGACTGAAGACAGAGAAATGCAAACACCCTTACAAGTATGTATGACTGCCACACATAACCTTCATAGTATTTTGCTGACCTAGGTAAGATTTAGTGTTTGTTATTTAAATGTTACTAGTATTTGTAGGTAATGTTTAGGTTATGTGTATTTTGATCAACTAAATGCAACACATGTAAGGCAGTCATGTTAAGTAAGGGCATTGTTATTTTGAAAACTGGGGTGTAAATGGTAAGCTGTTGGTTACTATGATATGAATGCATGAATTGAACAAATCAAAGATTGAATTACCATCAGCAAGGGTATGTGTATATCAATTAGTTCAGCTAGGGTTGTTACCTCAACACCAGGGCCATAAGGCCATTGATGGAGCAATGCTACCACTAGCAACTGTTATTCAAATGAGTCCCTTCATCACATGGCTCAATCTACTAAGGCTTAGTCACACAAAACCTAGGTTGGGACTCAAACAAAACATACATAGGTTGGGACTCAAACAAAACATACATAGGTTGGGACTCAAACAAAACATACATAGGTTGGGACTCTTCACACCAAAACTTCATAAGACAACAGAATAGCATGGAAATTAAATGAAGTGGGTAGTCAACACACCATCAGTCACAAAGGGGGGTTGCTCAAACACCGAGAAACATAGGTTATGTGTCCCAAAAGCCAGTCATTGTGCATAAGAGTGGGACTCTTAGTAGCATAAATTCACAAAGAACACAGTTTCACCAACAATATAAAAAAAGGCTTCATCATTCATCAACAGCCAATATCAAACCAGCCTTCAAGGCATCACAGAACAACCAAGACAGACAATACTAGCAAACCAAATACCATAACACAGAAAATAACAATCATGAAAATGTTAAACCAACTAAAACAGAGATTACCAGAAGCCATATTCACACAATAATGAAACAGGGACTCATAAATCAAGTAAAGCAGCAACAATAAAACAAATGGAGAAACACATAAACATGAATTGAGGAGAAGAAAGGTTATACGCTGCAGGGTTAATTGACAGAGAACCACTCAGGGTGCATATCCCTCAGAAAATCCATGTGATAATCCTCATCACAGAAAAGCTCCGGATCAACAGACAACCCAGAACAACCCAGAACTACCCAGATCTGACCCTTTTCATCCCTGAGAGGGACCCTTTCTTCTGCTGTTTGACAGACATAGACTCACCGCCTACCACCACCGCCTTAGAACGGGACTCCTTCACCTCCCCTTTGGAAGACCCAACAGCTTTCCCCTTCACAGATCCCTTGCCTTCAGTTTCCCCTTCCAAATCTGTCACCTCAATAGGGTTTTTTAGGGTTTTTTCGGCCAATTCAGACTGGACCCCACTCTCTTCATCAGAAAGTACATCAAGTTTCGCACCACGGCGAACCCTACAGGAGAGCGGCCTCATCCTAGCATGGCGCAAGGGTTTGATCTTCCCAGAACCCCTCTCACTGATGTATCGAGTCGCACTTGGAGGGAGGTCATCCTTGGGTGATTCAGGGGGAAGATTCTCAAAGCAAAACAAGCTAGGATCGGTTTTTTTCCAGAGGAACTCATATTGTTGCAAGAGGAAATACAGTAGATCTAGAAGGGGAGTAAGGTGGAAAGTTAGGAAGAGGGAGAAAGCGGCGAATCACAGCAAAAGAACTAGGGTTCCAAAAAAACAGGAGAGAGAAAGTTTCGAATTTAAAGGGAGATGAGAGAGACGAGGAAGCCATGGAGTTATTGCAGGTTGGTGAAAAAACTAGAGATGAATTGAATGAAGTGGTTGGGAAGATGAATAATTTTGTTCTTCAATTAGTTGGATAAAAATAGAGGGGAGATAAAAGGTTGATGATATTTTTGGTGGAAATGGTTAGTAGTTGATGATAAGTTAACAATGTGATTACAAATAAGTGAGGGTCATTTATCAAATAAATGATACATAAGCACGGGTAATACGGTAAATTTACCTTCAAAAATTTACTAAATAAGGAAAAAAAAACTTGTTGCAAGAAATGTGAACCATCCATAAATGGAAAATGTTGCAAGAAATAAGAAACGGAGGGAGTATAACAAGTGTCGTTATGAAAGATTGGGAAATTTTGGCAATCAATTCTAAATGCCAAATAATGATTTTTAGTAAAAAAAATTTAAATTAAAAACAAAGAGTTGGGGGGATATCATAAGGTCAGTTGACGTTTGTTTATTTTGCCTTAACTGATGTTAAAAAAGAGAAGGTTTGCATCAATTTTAATTATTGCTGACTCTGTACCCTGTAAAATATAGCACAATGAGTATGGAAGTTTAATAATTAAACTTACATGGTAAATTGGTTATGCAAGAAACTATTTCTTCATAATTTCTTGATAATGTAATAATTTCTTCATAATTTCTTATTTAGAAATTTAGTTATATCTTCGTGATTTGTTAATTGAACTCAAAGTCCGAAGAAGATCTAATATGAATTAAAAGTGTTGCCAAACTTGATTTGATGGATTTCTAAACCCCCACCGGTGTCCCTCCCCTTTGTGGTGTTAAAATTGTAGTAACGTTCTTGCCCCACCCCCATCCCCCTGGTAACTAATGGGAGTAGTTGATTTGAATTTCATTAGTTATTATGTTGCTTTTCTTTGCTTATACCGATGTCATCTCCCTGTGTGCAAGTGTGGTTTTGATAGTTTGATAGTGCAAGTGTAATCCAAAATATGTCTACTTCCTTATTATGCCTTTTGTGTTCCTTCTGAAGAATGTTTCTAAATATTCTTCAAAATCTTTTTGTTCCCACAAAGATTGAAGTAGTGAAGAGTATTTGATAGAACTGCTTGCTTTTATCTAAAGACTGCTAATTACTATTGTTAGACTTGATCAATGTCAATTTTGCAGCTTAATACTTATCTTACTAATAACTTTATGTGCTTTACACCTTATATGATTTCCAGTGTGATATATATATTCAGTGGGAGAAGAAAAGAGAATAGCTGCAATAGAGGGAAATTCAAGGGTTTCTGCAGCAACCCAGTAATGGTAGTGGTTGCGGTGGCAGGAGTTTCGTCATAGGGGATTGATCAATCAACTGGTTCATTTCCGAGTCCCTGCAGCATAATGGCCTGTGGTCTAGAGAGGATCCCCTTTCCTGGGCTTCCCTAGCTAGCCACTTGCACCAGGTAGAATAAGGGTGAACACTGACGCTGCAATCTTGGATGGAATAGGGACAGGATTGGGAGCAGTGTATCGAGATGATAGTGGCAAGGTTGTAGCTGGGGCTGTACGAAGAGAGAAAGTGGACAGTTCTGTGGAGTTGGTGGAAGCTTTGTCGGTGAGATTTGGGATCTTGGGGTTCACTCAGGTGGAACTTGAATGTGACGAAATAGATGTTGTGAGGAACTAAGGACGGTCAATCAATGAAAATATGGTAGGTTGGCAGGAAGCCTTGTGTCATGTTTGTTGAAGATATTTGCCTCGCTGTCGATGAATTTGTTACCTTCTCTTGTTATCACACTAAACGGAGTAGGAATACTTGTGCCCATCTTGCTGCTAGATTAGAGCCTTTGAATTGGTTGAAGCACGTTTCCGTTGACGCATATCCGCGGGGTGTTGTTGTTGGCAGGGTTCAACTTGCTGTATTATGTTCTTCAATGCTACCTAATTAGAGGGTGTTCTAATGTTAGATTGATTTGACCTTGTATCATCAAATGAATACTGATTAGGGGGGTTTCTAAGAATATTTTCTAGGGAAAAAAATTGAATTCTATTAGGGGGGTTTCTAAGAATATTAACATTTGAATCATCAAATGTGTTGGAATTGTGTGCAGAATCTCTTGCAGTCCGTATGCCTCTAATCTCTCCAATTTGTGAAGATGTAGCCCTTTGAATCTCACTTACATATTTTCCGTGATTGCTTCTCTTCTTCTATAGTTTGGAATGATATTTTTGCAAGGCTTTTTCAACCACCAAATTTTAATTTATCTCTTTTAAAATGCTGATTGGAAGGAGTGGTTATATTATGATTTGAGTTTAGACAAAAAATGGAAATTAATCTTTGTTACTGCCTTATGGCATCTGTGGTTACAAAGAAATTTGATGATTTTTGAGCAATAAACTACTAGTCCCTTATCCTTATTCACGAAATTTCTGGTTGATTTTTAATTTATTGAGGTTGTTTTCCAGGTTTCTAGTCAAAGTAACAATCCAAGGAATGATCAGATTGTGAACAAGAAATGGAGGAATGATCAGATTGTGAACAAGAAATGACAGGCACCCAAAGAAGGATTCTTCAAGATCAATACAGACGGTGCTTAGGTAAATAATTAAAAGCTCTGTTGATTCATGGTATGTTGGATTTTCCTGCAAGTATAGTGCTGTATCAACTCTTGCAGCAGAGCTCTATGCTATGAACCACGGTTTAGCCATAGCTGAGGACTTAAAGCTAAAGAAAATCGAGATTGAAACAGATGCAGAATCATTGAGGACAATGCTTCTAACTTCAGGCTCCAATCCACACCATAAATTAGCTGCTGCTGTGTATGATGTAGCACAGATTTTAAGGAAGTTTGAAGTGGCTATTGTGACTCACGTTCCAAGGAAAGAAATAAGTTAGCTCATAGCCTTGCGTTGTTTGGCAAAAATATGGCAGTGGGCTATAAGACACACTTCATAGTGCTTGAATGTGTTCAGTTCCTGTGTGAGGAAGATTTGGAAGGCATTGCAGCTGCTTCAGTCATCTAGTTTCTGCGATAGTTCCCCTCTTCTTGCTTTATGGAAGTTTCTTTTGGGTATGGGTTGTATGACTGTCAGTTTAGGTTGGTTGATTAGCTTTGTTTTATGATAGATCAGTGTGTTGGTCTGCTTTTGTTGTGCATCAATTTTGTCCCTTGTACAAAGTGGGATGCAGTTTGTAATTAAACTATGGCAGTTAGCCTATTAATCTGTCATCTCTTTTATTTTAGGAAATTTTGTCAAAAACCACCCGTTAAAAACACTTTTTTGCCAAAAACCACCCACTTAAAAATTTGTTGTCCAAGACCACCCAAATTAAAATTTTTGTTGTCAATGACCACCTGACTCAACATTCCGGCATTGACCATAAACTTCGGCGTTGACTTGGGGCACACGTGTGACTTGCACATGACTTTTAATGGCCACCCACCAGACCACATCACCACCATCACATACCGCATCACCACCATCTCAGACCCAACCACTGTCACAACCGCCACAACCACCCCAAAAACCCAGCGAAGTCCACGCCTGATTGGGCTGAATCCACCCCTTCACCCGAAACGAACCTAGAAAAACCCATCTACCTAGCCAAAAAACGCGCCCAACTCCAATCACGAAAAGTCGAAAACCCGACCACCTCCACCACCTAAATTTTTCCTTCTCTACCTCCACTAAAGTGTTGCATCGGAAATGATACTAGTACCTCAGTCAACCCAGACCAAATCACTCCAAGGACAACAGAATTAACCTTGATATTATCTTTTGCCCATTCACCTGCCAAATTCTTTGCTAGTGCCATGGCATTTGATATTGGATCTGTTAATGGGGCAGCAAAAGGTCCAAAAACCATTCGTTGCTAGTACGATGTTGCCTTGTCTTGAGGCCGTAAAGAGTGGATATGCAAGTTGAGATAAATTGTATACTGACGACGAAGACGAAGTGGGTATCATAGTAATTCGAGATCCAATGAGAAAGCCATTAAAGAAACAGAGATCGGAAAATCGCTGGTTGTTTTCCGACGAAGATGAAGTGGGTAAATAATTGCACATTGGAATAGGAAGACGACAAGGAGAAAGAAAGGTCGGAGGGAAGAAGTGTATTGGCCAAAAGGGTAGACGACGACGAGAGAGCAATTCAGAGAGAAGAAGTGAGCGCCGGTGACGGCTTTTAGGGGCTTAAATGAGGTGAAATGCGAGATGTGAGAGAAAGGGGGGTTCATTAGCTATCACATGCAAGTTACGTGGGGTAGGTCAATGCCGGAGTTTTGGGTCAACGCCGGAATATGGATTCAGGTGGCGTTTGACAACAAATTTTTAAAATTGGGTGGTCTTGGGCTACAAATTTTTAAGTGGGTGGTTTTTGACAAAAAAGTGTTTTTAACGGGTGGTTTTTGACAAAATTTCCTTTATTTTATTTTTTTTTTTAAAAAAAATCATCAAATGTGGCGGTGTATTCATATTTTACCTTACAATGAATTTAGCTTTAATCTCTTGCCTTACAATGAAAATAGAATAAAGTTTGGGGCATAATGGGAAATGTTCTAGCCTTGCTTGTATATTGAAACCATTGAAATACTAAAGGTTTTGAAACCATCCCAATACCCTTGTTGTGTGATCTCATAGGATCCATTCTAGAGGGCTTTGGACTATTTGACTAGCCCAAAGATCATTTATCATAATTTAGCAATAGATAATGACGAACCAAAAGAACGAACTTATTATCTCCATAAAGCGGAAAATACAAATTGATACCAGATATCTGTAGGAATTTATAGGTACTATAAAGCGGAAAATCATGAATCATATTCATAAACCACCTAATCCCAAGATCGCATGCATAACACACAAGACACATAATTACACCTTTGAAGCATGATCTCCACGAAACTAATCGACTGGCAAACCAGGGAGAGAATAAAGCCTTAAGCGTTGTTTTTTTAATTAGTCCGCGAGCTTCGAACGATCCATCCACCAATACTAGATTGGTCGAGTGAAAGGGAAAACCACGATCACCACCTTTAATGGACTAACCGACCACCACGAACCACCACCACCAAGAATCACCACAACCGGCGCCAAGGGAGGAGGAGGAGAGTGCCGTGAGAGAGAGAGATTTGAGGGGCTTGGTCTCGTGTTTTCTAACTCGGGTTTTGATCTTACTGATTAATCGAATTGCTATGCAAAATCCTAGGCAAATAGTCGATCTACTTATAATCACATTATAATTTGACTAGGTTAGGAAGCCCAAAACCCTCCAACCTTCTCTAAATGGCCGGCCATGCTAGGGGATGAGGCCCATCATGGGCCTCGTCCTCTCGTGCTCGATCTAGGCCCTTTGTGTGACCTTATAGGATTCATCTAAGTGGGCTTTGGCCTATTTTATTAGCTTAAAGATCGTTGGTACCTATGATACGAGTGCTTGGTAGATTCTAACAAATGTAAAACCCCCCTGATAAAGAATCGGATCAACTAAGTCTAAAATTCTCTTTCGGTCCTCCAATATCCAGCAGACCTGATGAAACAAACGTTGTATCTCATAAATAGTTCTAGTTTTAGGAAATTCCGAAGTTAAACTTGCATTTGTATATATAAAACAAGGGAAATAGAAACTAACCCAAGATTGCCAATTGCCCTTATGCTCCTTATATGCACTTGCGATTTCATAGGATCGTCGCCCTGACATTAACTCTAATAAAACTAATCCCAAGCAAAATACATCTGTTTCCAAACTCAACACACCTTTATAGCCAATACTCCGGCGCAAAATAGGTTCCCACAATCCTCTTGGATACCACCGCTTCACTATGGAAAGGCCCAACCTTAGATAACCCAAAATCAAAAAGCTTGGGATTAAAGTTGTCGTCTAGGCTGACGGTAAAGGGACATAGGTTGTGGTAGATGATTGGAGGGTCAGCTTTGTTGTGCAAATATTCCAACGCCATAGCAATGCCCGACGCTATCTTCATTCTCCACTACAAGAAAACAACAAAATTGCGACGGAAAAAGTTCGTCGTAAACTAGGTAAATTCCGTCGTAAAGTTGGTTTACGACGGAATTCCGTCGTAAATGGTTGTCGGAAAACCCTTTGTAGGAAAATGGCCATTTTACGACGGAAATTCCGTCGTAAACCAACTTTACGACGGAATTTACGACGGAAATAATATCTTCGGACTTGGAATTGGCCTTGAATGAAGTTCCGTCGCAAACTTCCGACGGAAAAAGTTCCCTCGCAAAATATAATTTGCGACGGAATTTTCCCTCGCAAAATACAATTTACGACGGAAAATTCGTCGCAATGTATATTTGTACGATGGAAAATTCCGTCGTAAATTGTATTTTGCGAGGGAATTTTCCGTCGTAAATTGTATTTGGCGAGGGAAAATTCCGTCGCAAATATGTAAATTACGACGAAATATTCCGTCGCAAATTGTATTTCCAGCCCAAAACAAATTTTTGTAATTTTCTGCATTTTCAAACCTGAATTTTTTTAATTTTAAATCGACAAAAAAAAAACTAAATATTGAGTCCTAAAATTGTTGTTTTAAATAAATTAATTACCGACCTACGAAATTAGGGTTATGTACATATATATATAATAATTATGTCCTAGTACAAAAGATAGTCCACATTTTGGTATCTATACCAAACAAAAGCTAGGTTAGAGTGATTCTATGCTAGACTAAAGCTAAGCTACGCAATCGCCTGGAAACCCTGACCTGCTCCACCACAACCCGGGTCGTTCCTAGGGTCTCGATGATGAGGTTGAATGGTGGAACATGAGTCGTTGTTGTTGAGACGACTCATCATCTCATCGAAACTCTCCTTGTATCTCCTCTCCATTTCAGCCATTCGAGCTTCCATTTGAGTTTGGAGAGTTTGCACCCTGTGTTCCATCTGGTCTTGCATTTGAGAAATGACAGACGTCGTGTATTGCTGTGAAGAACAGGAACCTCGACCCTGTTTTCCATAGTAGAGCTCTGCACTTTGGCCAAGTCCCTTCACACGCCACTTCTTAATGCGCCCACCCATCGACTCCCAGTACAACTCATTGGGACTCTTCTGAATCCCCTGACTCCTTGTTTCTTCGAGCTTCTTCTGGTAGGTGTCCTACAAAATATTGAAGATAAAAAAAATATTGTTAAAAAAACAACCAACAATATGGAGTTATATCGCATAATTTTAGGTGCCTAAGGATAGAAATTAAGAAAATTAAGCACATAAGTCAATTTTCAACCCTCACTCATCCAAAATCATCCAAATTTGGGCTATATCGCTAAAACCATGCCTATTTTCTAAATTTTCAAGCAAATAGACTCGTTCTTTCTTCTAACATTCCAATATCAATTGCTTTTAAGTGCCTAGGATAGAAATTAAGAGAAATAAGCACATATGTCAATTTTCAACCCTCACTCATCCAAAATCATCCAAATTTGGCCTATATGGCTAAAACCATGCCTATTTTCTAAGTTTTCAAGCAAATGGAGTCGTTCTTTCTTCTAACATTCCAATATCAATTGCTTTTAAGTGCCTAAGGATAGAAATTAAGAGAAATAAGCACATATGTATTTTTAGGGTTTGTAACAAAACCAAACCAAACCAAACTAACATATATACGTTATATTAGAGTTTGTAATGTGACTAACCTTTAGATCTGCACTCCTTTTTGACAATTAAACCAATTGTACAAATCCTACATACAAAATATTTAAAAAAAAATAATTAAATTAAATAAATAAGGGTTTATTATTAAAAAAAAAATTGGGGAAAGGACAACTTACCAACTGCTTCAGCCACGGCGAGGGAAGGGAGGAGGCCGGAGGTTGCGGTTGTGGTGGTCAAGGGAGGCTGCCTTGTGGTGGTTAATAAATCAAATCATTATTACTAGTAGTAGTGCCGGAAAAAAAAAAGAAAAAAAAAACAAAAACAACTTACTGAATTTTAAGGGGGAAGTGGCGTCGCCGGAAACAACCACCACCAGTCGGTTCAGTCACGGTTAGGGGACGGAAGTGCGCCGCTAGCTAGGCTGCATTGTGGTGGTTAATTGTTAGCCGGTGGTGGTTTTTTTGCAAAATTAAAAAAAAAAACTAATTTAAAGTTACCTAGACGTGGCGGCGTCGCCGGAAACCACCAGCGCCGTTCTTCTTCCTCGACGGCTCTCTCTTCCTCCTTCTCTTTCTCTTTCTCGTTCTTCTCTCTCTTTCTTTCACCCTTCTTTCTCTCTTTCGTTCTCGGCGGCGAGTGTGGGTCGACGGCCGGTGTCACCGTCGCCGATTACGGTCGCTGGAGAGCCGCCCTCTTTCTCTCACTTCTTCCCTTTTTCTCTCTCCTTCTCTTTCTCTCTCTGCTGCTTCAATTGCTCTTTCCCCCTTTTTTTTCAGGTCGAGCCAGATTGTTATTTTTCAAAAAAAAAAACCAACTTTTGTGACGGAAATAAATTCCGTCGTAAACATATTTTTCCGACGGAATATTCGTCGGAAAAATATGTTTACGACGGAATTTATTTCCGTCGCAAACTTTACGACGGATACAGCCTCGTAACTCAACTATTCCGTCGCTAAAGTGCGATGAAACAAACTCCATCGTAAAATGTGAACTTTGCGACGGAAAAAGGGGTTCGTCGCAACAATTCCGTCGCTATTTAGCCTATTTCTAGTAGTGCTCCTGTCCCAATCTAAAGGTCACTTTTGCAGGGATGACCTATCTGAAATTTCAAAATTTTCGACGACAGAAGAAATCAGCTTGAAACAAATAAGATTTTGGTAAATAATCAGATAACAATGTAATAAAAGTTGATAAAAATTTTACCGTGTAGATACTTGTCTAGGGATCCCAAAGATAGATATTCATGCACTAAATATCTACAATCATTTCCTTCATTACAATATGCTATCAAACGGATCAAATTTGGATGATTGAGGCAACTCAATATCTTCACATGTAAAAGATAGTCTCTACCTCGTCGACGTGATCCCCTCCTGTCCAAATGCTCAATAGCTACGATCTATTATCAAGCAAGCAATCAAGAAGAACAGAACATAAATACATGATAGAAAAGCACAACGTAATAAACAGAAAAATGAATTTGATTCAATTCATTTAAAAACAGGCAGAAAAAGCATACTAAGGTCCATGTTTAATTGTTTATACCTCTATACACTTTTACATAGATGCCAGCTTCCTCCACTAGACACTCCGGATTAAACTTCTTTGTAGCAATTTCTATCTCTTGATAAGATAAACGCTTCTCAACTGGAAGACTATCGTCAATGACCTCAATATCATCTACTCTTTCAGCTGTATTAGGCTCTTTGTTGTCTGAAGAAGAAAATAGAAGAGAGTCATCAGTTGATTACTTATATCCTTTGGACAAAAATAAACATTTTATGTAAGATAAAGGCATGAAATTTAGGGGAGAACTTCAATTGATTAGTAGCTTATTGTATGTTAATGACTTATTTCATGTTAATGCATGTTAAAGCATATTGATGACACATAAGTACACCCATATAATATTGTAAAAGACATAATATATGGTGATATAAGCTAAAAAGAGATCAGAACATGAAAATTTTAGTTAATAATCTAGAAATCAGATGAAATCGATACAATAACATTGGCAAAACAAGCTTGGTAATGTAAGCAATTCCGGAGAGATCACTAAGTATAATTGTGATAGATTGTGCTTGAACATTTTGTGCAATTACTTTTGTTTAAGCAAGTATTAAAATCTAATCAAGAGAAGACTTGACATTGATTATAAAAAATAAAGGGCAACAAATAATAAGCTAAGATGCATAGTAAGGGCGTAAAAATTAAACAATATTTTCGAGATTATTATGCAATTTTTAACAAAAACTATAAGGAGGGTTTTGGACATAAACGAGCAGGGGAATACAAAATTATTAAATTCATTAACACGACCCAAAATTTCATATTCAAGATTTCAATTTAGGGCTAACTATTGAGTAATATAAATAATATATAATTCAAAATTTCAAATTTAAAATTGCATTAATACTTACCTAGTTTGCCAGTAATCCTTTTGGATTCTTTGCTGTGTTGGGAAGATGAGCCACCAAAACAGAAACAACTCATAATTTTCGAGGCAACGAACTCAGGCCAACTCCCAAACTATACTTGCCTGAAATTATTTTCAATTAATCAATTTTTGTAATAATAAATTATATTCCATCAAAGTTAAATAGAGTTGATTATACAGGTTGAGATTAGTGACTAATTAATTAACATTCATGGCATTTTAGAGGGCTAATGGTAAAGAAGTAAATAAGTGCTTTATTGATTACACTATATCATACAAAAATTTCTTGTATACAGAGAGAGCGTTTTATCAAATTATGCATAAATGATCTTAGCAACTATAGTATCTCACAATTTGATTTAAAACTGTCATAAAATATCAAAACATGAACGAAAAATTGGTCACATGTATAAATGTAATTGTTAAAGTGGCTTTTCACATGCTGAATTTATCAGTTGTTATGGTACATTGTATATTGTTATTACTTGGAGTTTGTTAAAGTAGGTTCTCACAAGTCATTTAATGAACTATTAAACAAACATGTTTCTCATTTAAATGACATATTTTCTAGTTATAAATCTAAGTCTTATAGATAAACAGTAAGCCAGTAAGGTACCTATTCTCCAAGCAAGCTTTTGCCAGGCTCTCCAAGCAATGATCGAGCTGATGAGTTTAACACCACGCAGACTGTAGTATCAAATCTCGGCTTCGCCTTCTTCAAATTCATCTGCTGCAAACTCCTAGCTTAGCTTCACAGAACAATGAAAAACCGAATAAGCATGCCGCAAAAAGAAAGTAAATGTCCAATTACTTATATTAATAGATTGAGGCACAAATTTTACCAGAATATAATCCAATATATTTCTCAACAGTGCAACAAATGCCACTCCCTGCACAAACCCACAAAACATCATTAATGTACTAAAATATTAATTTAGACAAAATTAGCATGTTTAGTACTCCGTATTATTGACCCTTTAAAATTTACTCACTAGTATAACAACTTAAAATAAATTAGGAAAAATTAATTATAGCTTACCTCACACGAACCCAGCTGAAGGTAAGGTATGGTCTCCAACCCCTTGAATGTTGCGAAAAGTAATGTTGATGTGTTGATTAATGAGGAGGGATGGAAAGTGCTATTTGCTGCAGTTAGAAGGATCAAAGCGAGGTGCGAACCTAGAGCAAAGCAGTCCTGTTTGGCATAAAGAAGGCGAGAGATTTCGGCCTCAAGGATGTTATCCTCGAATCTGAATCTTTACTCTTAGTTAACAAGCTCAATAAGAATTCCCTTGCTTTTGCTTCTGTTGATGGTATTATTGAAGATATAAGTGTAGCTAGCTCTAGTTTTTCTTCTATTATTTGGTCTCATGTAAGGCGTGATGGGAACTTTTTTGCCCACCACCTCGCTAGGTTAGTGCCGTTGGGTTGTGAACAATGTTGGGAAAATCACGTGCCTAACGAGATTGCCCTGTATGTACTTTTGAATAATTAATGAACTAACCGATTTTTAGTTTCTACTACTCGTACTATAAATTAATATTAATTAAATAAAAATAATATATTTTTTTTGAAAAAAAAATATTTATATAATGCTGACATACCTCGTACTATAAGTAAATAACACTAAAGAAATCAATAAAGATCAAACATTATTTAAATATCAGTCAGTATAGTGTTACATACCTCGGGCGTTTACTATGGTAAAATGAATGTCTTCGAAGCTTAAAGGAAATGACAATGGCGAAAAATGTAAGTATGTGAAAGTGTCTATAGAGATTGTAATACAAAAGCTTAGGGAATGGTGCAGTAATTACATAACCTCTCAAATATTCTTCTTCAATTTTATTAGATGAAGCCCGTGCGATGCACGGTTTGTTATTATTTTCTTAAAAAATATTTTTCATATTTATGTGATTAAAATTGTTATTATATTAGTTTTATAATATCAGATAAAATTTCTAATCTCAAAAGATAATATTTTGTATTTAATTAATTTAAACTTTAAAATCTCATTCGTTAATTTTGCTTAGGTGGCATTTAAATTATTTAATTGTAAAAGAAATTAATAATTTCTTATTTAATTGGCTATCACTTAAATTTATAATCCTACATGACGCGCTTAGAAAATTAGAAACGACAATGACGAAAAATGCAAGTATCTAATGTGAAAGTGTTAATAAGATATTGTAGGAACATACCAAAACTTAGGAAATGTTGGGGATTATATAATCTCTCACATATTATTGCGTTCGTTTTTCTTTTTTTAAGGAAATTATGTTTATTCTTTAAAAACTTCCTATGGTTGTAAATCAATACGAGTAGCAAATGAATCACGTAGGTTTTTTTTATAAATAAATAAATAAATAAGAAGAGAAAAAAAAATGGTTACGCATTTGCCAATGCATAACAAATGAAAAAAAAAAGAGAGAGATAGGTAAGTGGGACCACTTTTAATTGTACCACTATCATCAATAATCATCAATAATATACTACCTCCGGTTCATTTTACTTGCAACAGTTTCCATTTTGGGGTGGTTCAAATTACTTGCAACAATTTTTTTTCCTTATTTGGTAACTTTTGGCCTATAAAATGACATATATGCCCTTACTTTTTTTTTTCTTAAACACCCTTATTAAATTACAAATCTGATTTCATTAAATTAAACCCCAACCTTAATTAATTAAACTCTCATCCCATTTAATATTCTCTATCCTCCTCCAACCCCATTTTCATGGTGGCTTCATGGTGTTACGGGCGGCGGGGGGTTGCTGTGGGTCGGGTTTCGCGATTTCAGATCGGCGGATTTCATGGGTTAGTTACACGGGTTTGGTTTCATGGGTTTGTTGGGTTGGTGAGGTTTGGTGGGTATGGTTTCATTGGTTTGGTGGGTTGGTGGATCGACAATGCTAGGTGCGTGGGATGGTGGTGGTGGGTCGGCGGGTCGCTGGGTTCGTGGGGTGGCTGGGTTCGTGGGGTGGCTGGGTTTGTGGAGTGCTGGGGTTCGTGGGTTGCTGGGTTCGTGGGGTGGTGGTGGTGGTGCGTCGGGGTTTGCTGGGTGTGTGAGGTGGTGGTGGGGTGCGTCGGGGTTTGCTGGGTGTGTGAGGTGGTGGTGGTGCGTCGGGGTAGCTGGGTGTGTGAGGTGGTGGTGGTGCGTCGGGGTAGCTGGGTGATGCTTGGTGCTTGGTAGTGTTGCTGGTGTGGGCTATTTAATTTAATTAAGTTTGAATTTGTTTTTTTTTTTTGGTTAGATTAATAGTTAATCACATACCCTTATTTTCCCATAATCATGTTTTCAATCTTTTGCCTTGGTTTCCGAAAATTTGTACTTTGTCACAAGTAAAATGAACCGGAGGTAGTATATACTAAAAGACACACCAGCAATGATATGTGTCATTTCCTGGTGTGCCCTTAGTTTTTTTTTTATTTATTTTTTATTTTTTATATTTTTTAAAAAAATTGTATTTAAAAAAATCTTATACAAAAATAACTTCAAAATCTTATATGATATAGTAACTTAAAATAATATATACTAAAAGACACACTAGTAATGACAATTGTCATTTCGTGGTGTGTCCTTAGTGCTTTTTTTTTTGGTATAAAATTGTATTTAAAAAAATCTTATACAAAAATAACTTCAAAATCTTATACAATATAGTAACTTAAAATAAAAAAGATTTAACATATTTTTAACTCAAATATTTATGTATTTATAAAAAAATATTATTGATATACTTTTGATTATAATCTACATCATTTTATATTTAATATATCTTTCGTAACCCTTTATATTGATCAAAATTTATCAACTATATTTTAAGATTTTTTTTTATAAAAAACTAATTATAATTAATGATAGTTTAATAGTAATTATTGAAAATTATCGTGCATGGCACTGGAACTAACCTAGTTTAACAGTAATTAAACACATCATCACATTCCAAAAAAAAAAAATCATTATCACATATTTTTCGAGTAAATTAATAATAATATTACAAAATACTACGTAACTAGATGAAGCCCGTGCGATGCACGGTTTGTTTAATTTTTTTTAAATAATATTTTTTTTTTGTATTTATGAGTCTAAAAGTTGTTATATATTTAGATAAAATTCCTAATATTAAAAGATAATATATAATATTTAATTAATTTAAACTTAAAAATCTCATTCGCCAATTTTGCATACATGGCATTTAAATTATTTAATTCTAAAAGAAATTAATAATCTCTTATTTAATTGGCTACTACTAAGATTTATAATCCTACATGGCGCATTGAGAAAATTAGATCCTACGTGGCTCTCTAAAAACTTGGGAAAAAACTCTCCTTTATATACTTCCTCCGTTCTTTTATTATTGCACCATAAGGGTTTGACACAAAATTGATAGTGGAAAAAAGGATGAGAGAGAAAGGTAGAAATACCAAGTTGTCCATGTGATTGTATGCACAAAATAAAAGTAAGAGTTGAAAAGCAAGGGTATATTAGGTATTTATAATGTGAACACATAAATTTCTTTTCCTAAAATGGATATGGTGTAATAAATGTGAAACTTTCTTAAAAGGTAAGTAGTGCAATATTAAAAAAACGGAGGAAGTATATATATTAGATTATTTAAGGTATAAAGTAATTATGAAACTTAAATTTAGAAGTTTAATTATTTTTTTGATAAGTACATTTAAGTGAAAAAAATTATTATCAAATCGATATTGATCCGGCACCCAGGATTTAGAACTGGGTAGGGTTTGATGCTATAAAGTAATAAAGCGCTCCAATCAAAACTAAAGGGAATATTGAATTAAACTAGACCAATTACAACAAAACGGTATTAGAAGTATAAAATCTACTTTTCCCAAAAGCATTTTCATTTTTCAATAAACCTAAACAAAATTCTGTCCCGTGGGCCGTGGCCAATCAAAAATTGTCCGTGAAAAATAAACTTTCCATTTAAGGAAATAGAATATTTTTATTTTTAGTAAAAGGAAATTAAACCATATACGGAGTATTTATTTATTATAATTATGCTTTTATCTTTATTGCTTTTTTCATATGCTATATGCTCGTCTTTTTTGTCTTTTGTAGAAAGTTTGCCGGTCTAATTTGTCTTTAAAAGAATCTATGCAAGTAGTTAAAAAAAAAATAATAATAAAAATAAAAAAAACCAAACAAATAAACTATGCCTTGTCAAAAAATATACTTTCTTTGTTCTAAAGTATTGCTTTAAAAATGAAATTATGCATCTCAAAACACATTTTATATGTTAAATATTTATAATTATATAAGAGTAAAAGTTATAAAAAGTTGATATTGTGAAAGTATTTTATAAAACGAATTTAACAAAATCTCACATGACTATATTTTATTTCACGTATAAATGATAATTTGTGGTTAAACAATGGTGCAAAAGTCCAGCTATTGCAGTATTACTAAAACAGAGGAAGTATGTGGTATCTTTCTTCCGTTCAAAAATAAATGTGGTATCTTTCTTTAGGTTTGCATAGTGCTCGTACTTGGTATATAAAATCAAAAAATTTTCATTACTCCGTCTAACATAAATTACTCGCAACATTTTGACCTTTTGTCTTATTTGCACATCTCACTTTAATTATTTTTTTTAGATATTATATAAAGTCAATGTAATCATGTTAAATGTTATTGGATCTATTTTAATGTATAGTTTCTTAATATAAATTTTTTTTATTGGTTTTATAAATATATTATAAAAAATATCGATAGTTAAACATGTGCATCGACAAGTGTGTCCAGCTAACATGTTGTAAGTAACTTGGAATTAAGAAAATATTACAAGTCGATGAGACGATGACCATATGTATATCAGTGTATCATTTCACTTTATTTTATTTATTTATTTATTTATTTATTTTGAATAGATATTTTTATTATTTTATTTTGTTTGCAAATAAATATTGCAAATTACTTGCTTTTTATTAATTTATTTAAAGTTATTTCATTATAGAATATTACCAGAATTTCTCGTTAAAAAAACATATAACCGAAACTTATTTTATTTTATTTGCGCTTTTTTTATTTCCTGATATATGATAAAATGAGATGAAACAATCAACCCAAGGTCCCTAACATAACCAATTGTCCGCACCGTCAAATAATGGTATCAAGCGCTATGAATTCATGTTTTTCTCACAACTCTATCATTGGTATCAAGAACTATTAATCCATATTTTCTTGCGTCCGCTATTACTAATCATTTCCATGGTTACACCATCAAAACCCATTGTCGATACTGTCCATATTAACTTTAGTTTTGAAAAAAAAAAAAAAAGGTTTAGTACACCACAAAAAAAAAAAAAAAAAAAAAAAAAAAAAAAAAAAAAAAAACCTTTTGAGTGTTTGAAAAACCATTCTTAAAAGTAGCTTCAAAATCTGCTAAAGAATAGCATTTCATAGATGAACCTATATATATATATATATATATATATATATATATATATATATATATATATTTATATATTTTTCTTTTTCATTATTCCAAAATTTTATCATATTCCATCATTTAAAAAAGATAAATGGAAAAAAAAAAAAAAATCAAGTACGACAGATAAGCTGAGGGAGTTGTATGAGTCTATAATACAGATTATGAAAATTCCATCAGTAGATCTTCAAACAATGATATGAGGTATTATGAAAATTCCGGTGTTAAATAATACAGATTTACTAAAGATAAAACACTATCAAAATTTCGGAAAGTTAAGCTGGACGAGGTGAGATTACTAACTCTTTAGTCATCCTCTTCCATCGGCACTTCTGGTATATCATATCTGTCTTACTGGATAATTTTATTGGTAACTGATACTGGAAATGGTAAATAATAAGTCAAGGGAGACAAGCAAATTGCATGAACAAGAGACAGCTATTCATGACAAAGGGATGAAAAACTAGTACACAAAATCTGCGGATAGAGGAAACAAAGATGACATTATGAAACGAAGCAATCACAATTAAGTTAAACCAAACTTCACTAGGATGAGAAGCTGATAGCATTCAAGCTCGTATAACTCTAACTAGAGTACTAGACAACAGGATACACAAGGCTTATTTGCTTCCAATAACTTGCAAATGATACAGTAGAAGCATATGGGTTAAAAATACTATGGAGCAGGCAAGACTGCTAAAAGTAGATGAAAACAAATGGAAGCGTTTCCACAAAAGATTTTTCTAAATCGCACCTTTCCAATCCCTCCCAATGTTATAGGACTTCCTGCCCCAGATAATCAATGAAGACCGAATTATAACGAAAACCTTAACACTTACTGATACATTTACTGCATACCCCCACCCCTGTAAACTCTTTGTTTTATAGGACCTCTGAAATTAGCCATACATCTTCGCATTTATGGTCCTTATTTCCTTAAATGCGCAACACGGTTCCCCTCTCTCCATTCCATTAACCTTAGAATTAACAGTTTGTATCAAAACAACACCCACTACTTCTTATCATTTTTTGTCACATTTAAGAGAAATAAACATGCAGCAAAAAAAAAAAAAAAAAAGAGATTTAGCAGGAGTAAGCTGGCTGAGCATTCTCTTTTCCAAAGCAACTCGTATATCAGGTGATTATTAACATATCGAAATAAGAGCAAAGCAACGTCTTAAACCTTACAATATCCAAAACAGAACTAATTAAATGTGTAAAGCCGAACCAAAACCATGCACGTAGTATATACTTAATAGTTATAAATCATGTAATCAACAGTTATATACATTCCAAAAACCTCAATCATTTCAAAACCAGGTTATCAAACCAGAGTATGATTCGGAAAGAATAATTTAATACTAACACCAGGAAAGGAAAAAAAAAAAAAAAAACTACATATATCGAAATAAGAGCAAAGTATAAACCTTACAATATCCAAAACAAAACTAATTAAATACTCCGTACCAAGTATGAATAAAGGCGAACCAAAACCATGTATATAGTTATAAATCATGTAATCAACAGTTATATACATTCCAAAAACTTCAATCATTTCAAAACCAGTACAATAATCAAACCAAAGTATGATTCGGAAAGAATAATTTAATATTAACACCAGAAGAGAAAAAATTCATAAAATCTCTTTCCACACACCTACCCCTCACCCTGCTTGTAATGGACGAGGGCGAACACCAAAAACTACATTTCTAAAGCTAATAAATGCCACAAATGAATACCCACACACGAACACCACGATGCATTTTTCACACCATTTACAGAATACACAACAATGAATTTGGAAATACCAAGACCCTCTATAAAGATCATTGGCCAGCATCTATTGGAGTCCCCGTTCTAGCTTGTGAGATGCGGTTAGCATAAATCGTCACCAAACGCAATTGAGTACTGTTAAGTCCCTCCAGATATGGCAGGAATGCTTTCCCAAGCATGATATAAATGTCAACCAGACAAAATACAACTGTCTGCAAGAAAGAAATAAACAAAGAAAAAAAAATCAGTAGAAAAATAGCTTTTTAAATAGCTTTGTTTCTTTTCCTCCAAGATACCAAAGTGTTTTTCTAAATAGCCTAGTTCAGCTAGCAAGCTGCTAAGTTCATTTCAGTACTTTAATTTCATTCAAAAGGCTAAGCTGGCTTATATTTTTTAGCAGTAGTAGTTTCGACATCAATTTTGACGTCCAAATCATGTTTAAGCTTTATAAACTTGTGAGAAATTATATAAACAAGTATTTCTTTGGTTTTCATTCTTGAACTCAATTCTTCTTTACAAACTACTAAACTTCAAGTTTATAAGATCAACAAAGTTCAAACTTGGATGTAACCCCACAATCCTAGTTCTAACATATAGTACAACAGTTACCTTGCGCACATCAGCACTCTGATTCCCAAATGCATCAAACAGAGCTGGCAAGAAAGACGGCAACTGATTCATCAATTCCTCTTGAGACAACCTGCCCACAAGCTGAAGGAAGGAAATACACTGACATCATTTATTTGAAAAACGTGAAAGCCAAAAGCCCACGTGTAACATTCCTATTTGAAAAGTAGCCAGCCAACCTTGAGTAGAAGCAAGATAGCAAACAAATCCAGACAGATTAATGTGGTTATGTAAAAGAGAAATACCTCTTTCCTGAGTCAAATCTCTCATGAATTCTAAATTTTGACCAACATTAACCTAGAACTGAGCTAATCCCTCATGTTCAGCTATACTTGATTTATACAGTATCTAATATGAAAGCAATCAAATAATAATCACACAAAAAAATTTAGTTCATAGTGGAACCCTTCTCCAATGTACTTATTTTCTCACATCATTTTTCAAGCAAGAACCCACAGGAGAAGACAATCTCTGTTAAAAAGAGACTACAATGATTAATAAACTTTTTTTTGGAATGAATTTTGATTTATAGTGAGAATTGAATTTAAATAACTGAGCCTTATTCAATCTTGAACCCAGATTTAGTCCCTAAGGGCAATATCCTAAGTGTGAGGGTACTGGTGTAGTGGTGATTGCAGTTACCTAACATTCTTTCCAAGTTTCTATTGTCCTTCAAAAGAGCAGGCTGAAGAGAGGACATCATAATATAGGTCATACAGTCAGAAAAACAAGTAATGGCAAGATTGCACAAAACCCAAAATTCAATATCCAACCATACTTTTAACTTTTTAATAAGTGAATTTTGTGCATCAAATAGAAGATAGACAGCAACAAATACCTTGGTCAAACAATTTATGGAAGCAACAAGAGTCTTCTCATCCTCTGCAACCAACAGAGGAACAATCACCTGCAGAGTTGACAAAAAAGAGCATCACAAAGCATGCAAGAAATATTTGAAACTTTGTTATAAAAAAAAAAAAGAAATATTTGAAACTTCAGTGGGATACAAATCTTGCTACTTACACTCAAGCATCTAAATGGGTAGTACTGGGCCAACAACGTAGTCAAGCAGTTCTCTGCTTCATTAGCAACCTGAATATGAAGGTATATTGTTAGACTTGAAAAATAATTATAACTAGACATGATCAATGGACAATTCCAGGCTAAATTGAGCCAGTCCACAGAGCCAGGCAAGATAGGCAATTTCTGTCCACAAGGCTTAAGCCAGGCCCACTAGGGAAGGCTTGGCCAGATAAGATCCCAGTCATCCTACATCGATTGCTGGGACAACAAAATATTAATTTTCATAAAGAAAATACAATTTTAATGATTTCCCACAGAATGTGGTGACCAGCTAGTCCTCTCTGGGGGCAGGTTTGTGATTCCACAAGCCCAAGGGTTGCTAGGACTGGCAAGTGCAGTGAGACAGGCAATTACAGCCCATGCAGGGCAGCTCATTATGTCTAACAAATGCGTACATGAAATAAAATTTTTGTAAAAAAAAACATGAATTTACCTTGGGAGCAGTATCCTTTGAAACATGAAGCAGCTTTTCCATTACAATTTCAACAGATTCTTCCATGGCTTCTTTCTGGATTTTGGAGTCAAGTGGCAATCAACATGTTAAAAGTAAGATATGTCTTGGGAAGTAACCATAGTCCATTGGGAACAAATAGTATATTGACAAAGTGAACAGCTCACCTGATTTCTTAGCATTTCAGCAATCAGCAATAGTACAAGTTCTTTAACAGAAGATTCAGGATCATCTAATACCTCAAGCACAGCAGTTAAGATCTGATTGAAGTACTGCAAAACAGGAAGCAACAGTACTTAGCATACCCTTCATACTTTCAATATCAACCAAAACAAATTCTCTATTTATTTTAACTAAAGGCAAATACAAAAGATTACCTTTCAGAGCCACTATACATGTCAATAGAAGATGCCCATACATAATTAAGATGCTATACATGTCAATTGAGATTCAAACAATGAAAAGAAATAGAATTTTTTTTTACATTGAACCTCAAACTTACAAAATTTCCCAGAATAGAGACAAGGGGGAAATCTCAGTGGAACAGAGATGGTAAAAGTCCATCCATATTAGCAGAAGCAAAATGACGAACAATAAGAGAAAAAGGGGAGGAAGCATCAAAGGGAAGAGGAAGGAAAATCTCAAGAGAAGGAAAAACATATAGCTAAGAAATTGGAGAATTAATTGTAAATATGAATAAAAAGGGGGGGAGCGAGGAGTAAATGAGAATAGAGACAGGAAGACGTCAAGAGAAAGGAAGAGAAGAGATGAAAGGGAAATCTCACTGCATTATGAGCAGAGCATGCAAAATCAAGTGAACAACACTAAAGAAAAAAAAGTGAAGCCAATGCCACATTAAAGAATCCCCCACTTGTCTAGGAATTTGTTTTCCTTAGACCTGATGTATTCATCTTCAAATCAAATACTTTTATCCAGCTAAACACAATTTTCATTTCCAGGTTATTTTTTCAGCAAGAATTTTTAATTTCTACATTTTTTAAAAAATAGTTTCATGCTATGGAGCTTAAAGGATAACTCTTCTAACTTTTGACAGCACAAACTCTAAAATGGAGTCCAGTACAAGCATACAACAGGCCCATGATCCTTATCTGGTTATCTTACTCAAATTTACATGAATTCACATTGGAACATTGGCTGCACTGCACATAGTGACAATGAAAAGGGCCATGCGAATTTAGATCCAGAAAAATCACAAATTCCCAGCTTACCAAAATATTGGAAAGAACATATAAAACCAACTCAAGAATATAACCAAACAACAGACACAATATATGTCAAGGGTTCTATTATTAAGAACATAAAATCTTTACCATCTGGATGGGAAACATCATGATATACCTAAATGCGATTATACAGAGTACTCAACAAGTCAACAATAGTAACACATGAATGTAGAACCCTATGTTACCAAAGAGTTATATCATCAGGGTTGGAAATTGAGGAGAAGGTGATAAGTTAGTCCAAGTAAGTATACCTTGCTCCACATGGAGGAATCATTTGATACAGATGCTTTGATCAATTGATGAATTGCACTTTGCCTGCTGTCGGCGGAGCTTCCTTCATTCCCGTTGCAAATCTGTAAGAAAAAATGACCAAATAATCAATCATGAAACTTGTTCCGTTCATCTCTTGCACAAGAGGATCATCTAAGGCTCTAGGCTAAGGAGGAGACAATAGAATGCAAATACGAATAAAATAAAATAAAATAAAGCCCATGAAGAAAGATACCCCATTGCAGCTCCAGGTGAATGAGTAAAAGGCTAACAAATCTTTTTCGAGAGGACCATATTATTAATGTTCTGTGTTTTCTCTAACCCTTTTAGCCCAGTTTGGATTATGCAAGCACAATTCATGATTTAGATTTCTAGACAAGGAAAATTACAAAAGAGAAGCAAAGCAATATTATAAACAAAGGACATTGAACTCACTGAGTGAAGAACTTGAGGAATGCTCAGACCAGATTCTGAACTGGAGGCAATCTTCAACACTCCAGTTTTAGTATGGTCTGTAGCCAAATCATCTGAGAAACCATTTTCATGTTGCAATTCTGCGCTGGCCCCAATACTGTCCGAACTCTTTTTAAGTCCATTAGTGTCCATACGTGGAGTGGACAAAACGCCTGGATTGTCACTACTGTCCACATTTTCCAATCGACTGGCCCAATATCCTACACTTTCACCACTGTTATTACCCATATACTTATCTTTAATTCTTGAATCTAGAATCTCGTGACCAGATCCACTTTCATGACTCTCGTACAGGTTAGCGTGCGATTCATCAGTAGTAGCGTGATTGGTACGACCACTTGAGTATGTTGAATCCAGCATTGGATTCCATTTCCTGCCTCCATCACTGTCAGGGGAATTAGCAGAATATCTTCCAAAATAGCTCGTTTTCTTAGATACTCCCATATAGCCCTCTTCAGAAGACGTCCCCACAACATCAGATGGATCATAAGCAGCCTTTGAACGCTGTCTCTCTTTCTTGCTTTGCAAATAGTTCATCAAATCCACTTCTATACGAGGTGTATACTGCTTCAGAGCTCGCCTCAATGAATTTTGCTCTTCAACAGATAAGCTTAGGATAAAATTCAATACATTTGTGGGATCATAGTGGGTATAGACTGATATAAAACACGAAATAGCAGCCTCCTTAAGTTTAGTATTTTTATCATGAACTAGAGGTGTCAATTTTGCAAGCCACAACTTCAATATGCCAATGTTACCAGCACCTTCAGACGTAACAGAATTCTTATTAAAAGAGCCAATTGCAAATTCAATAACAGCCAATTTTGCTTTAGGTGATCGCTGTTCATCCAGTGAACGAAGCAATGCAGGCAACAAAGAATCCACCCCATAGGTTTTGCCCACAATATCCAATGTTGTCGAGCAAGGCTGACGAACTACCTCTTTTGGATCAATCAACCGGGAGAACACATGTGGCAAAATCCTTTCCATGTAACTTTCAAAAGGTCTTCTACAAGCGGGAATTATCTCTGCGAGAGTTAAAAGAGCAGCCTGGGCAACCTTATGATGAGGATCATCCAGATGCTTAAAAAAGAGCTTCATCACCTTTTCAAAATTTTGAACAATGTCCTGAATACCGCTTGGGCCTTGCTGCAGCAGAGATCGTATATAGTTAAAAGCAGCAACTCTGGCACACCAGTCAGAGCTTGGACTTAGTCCCTCACCTAGAGCCTCATGAAGAGAAGCTGGGCCTTCCACAAAACTTGGTGTTTCCCCAAGAGGAAGATGGCTGTCATCAAAACTTCTCCTCCTGCTTGAAGATGTACTCCTACCTGTGACATTTTTTCTTGATAGTGGTCTCTGAAAATTCGGAACATAACTTGAATCTCTAAAAGTTGATTCTCTATAAGGTGTATCAGCATATTGCCTATCCATGTGTGAGTTCATGTATCTTCTAGAATCTCTGATGTCAGTTTGATCTTCAGTAAAGTTTCTCTCGTGTGCTCTTTCTGAAGCTCTCTTTGCTGAGTATGACATCAATGTTGATGATGGCTCATTCATGAGACCACTAAGATATGATAATTTACCAGCATCTTTCGAAGCATGCAAATGAGAATACATGTCAGAATGAGCCATGCCACCATTGCGGTTTTTATTTCCAGTGACTGATGACAACTTTGAATCCAGTGATAAGCTTGTGACTTGATTTGAAGCAGGAACGGCAAGGGGATATGGAGGATCACGAGACGAAGGAGGGTCAACTCCTGCACTAGGGGCAATAAAAGAAAAATTTACCCTTTCTCAATGTAGTCCAAAAACATTTTTTAAAAAATACAGGTTTTCCTGTAGTTCTAACAACATATTTTCCAAATAAAAGTAGTAAAAAAATCACAGAGTAAATAGAAAAGAAGTTATCCATACCTAGATCAAGGCTAGAAGATCTAATAGTTGACGAATTATGTTTTGAAGACAAATCTAGACCTCTAAGCAAACTTTCAATTGCCGAAACTTTCTCTTTGCTGGAATTCAGTACACTTTCCAGGCTACGGTCAGACCCTTTATCAAGAGACTTTGATTGAGACAAAAGCATCCCAGAAGAAACTGATGCTCTAGAGGATAGAGTTGCAGTCTTGTCCATTGCAACAATAGCAGAAGTACCATAACCAGGCATATTTAAAGAAGCAGATGACTGAGGTGTATTTGGCACATTTCTTTCGCGAACAGAAGGAGATGCATGCCTTCTATGTAAACCCCCATCTTCTTCATTAATTATCTAAAACAAAAACCAACTTCAATTTGCTAAGAAACAAAGGGAAAAGCAGGAATAACCATTGTCTTCAATATCCAACCAATAACAAAGACAGAAGAGTTCCCAAACGTAGGAGAAATAGACCCTACCCTCTGTATAACAGGATCAAATGATTGAAATAGCCTTCTAGAACGATCAGGCCAGGTTTTCGCAAACATTCTATAGCAAGCCCTTGCAGTTGTTCGTACCTAAAACAAAAACATATTAGTTATGAGAATAAACATACTTAAAACAACATTTGACAAGGAAATTCCCTTTCCCACAAATATCATGATCTAACAGTTTAAGACAGTCCTAATTTTATAACTTATTTCTGTTCAATTTGTCCTTGGTACTGCGGGATGGTCAAAATATTCCATACATTAATGCCAGGATTGTCACCTCTGAATATTTGACCATCCTGCAGATGGTATCCTATGTTCACCGGACTCGGCCAAAATCCTGAAGTGTCCGTGTCGACACGACACGACGCGGATTCGGACACGGAATTCGTGTCAGATTCGGCAGTGTGCACTCGGACACTTCAGAGAGAGGCTGAAACTCCATTGTTGGTCGGAGTTTTGTGGTGGACTCCATTGTTGCCGGTGTGTAGCAACCACATGAATGCATGATAAAGAAATAGAGAGTGAAATATTGAGGAGTGAGGGCTGATGAAGTGATAAGAATGAGGTTTTGTGGTAAGTGGGAGTGTGGGACAGCTGTATAGATAAAGAAAAAGGGTGGACAGCTGTGTGATGCTTTTCATTTTGCCATTTTGGTTATATTTTATTTTTTAACCACTCAAGACTCAACCTCTTTTTTTACTTTTAATATTTTGATTTGGTAGAAAGCTGTAGTTACTGACAACATTTATTAGTTTTTTAACCACTCATCCTCTTCACTTTTAACCTTTTTTACTTTTTTCACTTTTTTTACTTATAATATTTTTTTGCACCAAATGAAAGTGTCGTGTCCCCGCACCCGTGTCCAAATATAGGACAGAGTCTCCGTGTCCTAAAATTTTGAAAATTGACGAATCGGACACTCGGACACGTGTCCGTGTCCGACACACGTACCCGAGTCCATGTAACATAGATGGTATCATCATAGAAAAACCAGTTTAACCATGTAAAAAATAGATATATACATCTAAAAAAGGTTACAGCCAAAAATTTATGAAGTGTTAATGAGATTAAAGTTGCCGAGAATATTCAAATGTGCTTTACCCCCTCTGTGTTTTAATAAGTGTTACACTTACCAAATCTGGCCGTATTTTAATAAGTGTTACACTTCCTTTTTTGCAAAAAGCTACATTATAATATTATATCTCTCTCCTCTCATGGTCCCCACCCAAACCCACTATTACTTTTTTTATTATATCTTTCCTCTCACATTCATTACTTTTCAATAAACTATTAACCCCACTATCTTTATTTTACAATTTTTTTAATACTCCAACTACCCACTTACCTCTCATGTTATTTAAGTCAATTAAATTGCCCATAACTATGTGCCGGTCAAACTGTAACACTTAAAAAAAACACGGAGGGAGTATTTATCATTTTCTTTAAGAGACTAATCAAAGATATACCTCGCTCACAGCATCACCAACACAACGTCTAATCATATCTTCATATAGATCAGCTGCTCGCTGTATTTCAGGTTCATCAGGCCAATGTTCTAGGACTAACAGTGCATAATCACAACACCTACATCAGAGGACAAAAGGATTAACATCAATTCAGAATCTGAAAGTTTTTCAAATTTCACACTTTGATTGAAGAATGCAAACCTGGCACGCAGCGCTGCATTTCGGTCATTCTTAGCACAATCTGCTATTCGAGGAAGTACACGAGCAACTTTGCAGTTACGCAACATCTTGGATTGCAAAGATTGCAACTTATATCAAAATTTTATACAACAAAAGAAAAAAATAAAGAGAATTGAGGAATTAGAAAAGGTACCGTCTTAATGCAATTATCAGCAGACTCTGCAATTACGAGCACTGTTATCACAACAAGCTTGAAAAGAACCTACAAACATAATTGAAATGTCAGAGACAGCCAAGTGTAGTGCAACCACAATCATGAACATAAAGAAAACTTTATTTAAAAGAAATAATAAAAAAGTTACTAAATTGAAAAGAAATTACAGGAATAAAATGCTCCGCACAAGCCTCGAAGTCTCCCAGCAACTCCTTTGACAAAAAATTCAATAAATGACAAGCCTGCAGATAGTGAAACAGATAAATATGAGAAAACCAGACATTAGAAATAATAATCTCTGCAGCTATACAGAAAAAGGAAGAAATGGAAAAGACAAATAATTAACTGAAAATTTAGTTGACAACTGGACAAACAATCCAGACAACTGGTATCTTAGATTCACTATTATTAAAAAGCATAAAATCATCAACTGTGAAACCCTGGTGTTAGCCCCATAAGAATCCCGCAACTTCAAATTACCCTGCAAGGCTGCAACAGTCATCCATCCAGGAGCAGAATCACTTTCACAGGCACAGTTAGTCAATTGCCAGTGGAGTGTTTGCACAGCATTCTCTGGACAACTGGCAATAATCAAGGCAAGGAGCAGAGAAATAACCATACCACCCACCCTTCAATTCTTTCCACGTATTTGACATGCTATCGCTGGGCTCCATCATAATAAATTTCAGGATGCATCGATTTTACTTATGTAAAGTGTCCTCGTATCATCTCAACTCAGTCCTTGAAATTTGACAAGATTGGCCACTGGGAGCATACTTACTCATTCCTTATTCCTGAATCTGAGTATCATACTCATCAACCGCCTCATCATTTCAAAACATCTTCAGACTTGCCCATTTAAAGAAAGTTCATCTCAGGTAACATTAGCCAATCCAGAAAGACCAAAGTCCAATACTATTCACTTAAGAGTTGAGACCAAAGTTTACTACTATTCACCATTACAGGGAAGCCAACATTCCAACCCAATGCCTATCACAATTACAAAGATGAGAAGCAAAACCATCTTATAATAATAGGTAGCTGCATAGTGCACACATGATTGGCATTCATCTGGGACATTTAAGTAAGGAAAAAGAAAACAGGCTGCAGAAATATAAAACTAGTACCAAGACAATTATGAGGTTGAATGTAGTTTTAATATATAGCTTAATAACTAAGGGAAATTCTTTTTAAGGCATGGAAAACGGTCCACCAGGAAGCCTCACACCTTTAAAAAAATAGAAGAGAGGCAATATTCTACTGTAAGACCATAAACTGCTTGCATGAACATACTAGCTAATAGGTCCGAAAGAAGCAACTCAAAAAAGTTTGAATTCAAATGGAAAATAGAGCAAACTACACCAGAGTTTAGAAAGAAGATAAAGCAGAAACAAAGTATTCACAAGATCAATAATTTATAGGGAGACAACATACTTGCTTAACTATGCTTGACCTACGATCGGAAAGCTGTGTGCTCAAAGGACCAATAAGTTGCTTTAGCAATCCCCGGAAACATGGGTAATCAGCAGCACCTGAACAAGATATATTACAGAAAAACTTAACTCTAGACATATCTTCAATTATAACTATCTCACAAACACAATGACATGGTTGAAGCAAATATTATAACGTAGTGTTTGGTAATTTAGATTTGGGATTTGATATCTTTGGATTCAATTCCAGAATTCGAAATGGTGAAATTGAATTTCAAAACAATTGTATAGAAAATTCTAATAATTTCAATTTCACCCTATTGTTTGAGAAATATGTAGAATTTCATGTCTAACAATTTTAAAAATTCCATTGTTGTTGGCGTGCTAAGATGAATCATAACTATCATTAGACTTCACCAATGCCACTATCAGATGTTATGCCTAAATTGCTACTAGTGTTGGAGTAGAAGCAAAAGTGGGAGAGGCGATTGGAAGGAATAGTTTAATGGAGTGCGGGAGAGTGACTGAAACGATTATAAATTTATAATAGAAGAAATTATGAGAAGGCGAAAGTAATTGGTGGAGAAGGGAAAGAATTGTCGAAGGAAGAAGGATGATGGGGTATAATGGAGTTGAGATAGTAATGACGACGCTATTAACGATCATATTCATGAATAAATACCATGAAAATCGAGCAGTATTATGAAACAAACCAAGAAATTTGAACATAAAAGTGAAAAATTTAAAGGAAATCAATCTTGCTATGATGGAAGCTGAGGAGAAAGAAAGGATAGGACTACTGAGAGAGCAAGAGGGTTGGGACTAAAAGGTGTCATGAATAGAATAGAGGAGAGAGAGAAGTTGAAGTCTAAATTGGATTTCAAAATTCTAAGAATCATGTTGTATTTCATTTCTAATGATTTGGCTGGTTTTTAAAACGACATGGAATTGGACCCAATCCAAATTCTTAGAGAATCCAAACAAGTCACTTGACCCAATCCAGAATTTGAAATGAATTCTATGTCCCCAAACAGGCCATAAGACTAATTCTACTCAATTCCATTGTTTCAACAAACAAAAATGCAAGACAGCTGTTCGTAGACTTTGTACAGTCATCACTAGACCAGCAGACAGATTATAGCATCTACATCACATAAGTAATACTCCCTCCGCCCCATAATCAAGTGCATGTTAGGTATCCCAAAAGTTAGTGCATGTTTCTAAAACTCTCAATCCACAAACTTTTTTACCTTTCCCATATTAAATTCTCCTACATATCCATAAATTTTTGTGATATTAAATGCTTTTTAACATATCCCATACAAAATACACATATATCCAAAATGTCATTACTCACTTTTTACCTTTTCCATATAATATTCCCCTACTATCAAGAATACTGCATACTCCCTCCATTCTTCTTTATTCCCATGAAATATTAGAAATGGGCACTTAATAATGGGACGAAAGGAAGTATTAAAAAAAGGATAAGCCCATGCCTTAGGACAGACTAAGAACATAAACTGGTTGGGAGATCAGTCACATCAGTGTAAAAACTTCCTAGTGTGGGTAGGCAGCAAGAGGGAGATAAAGGGCATATGTAGTTAAAAAGTATTAGTTAAGGTACTAAGTCTAATCGTCAAAACCCACTGCACCATGCTATAATTCCTCAATCTAAGCCTTGTTCTCCTCACCTGATATTTACAAAATATAATTTTTTTTCAACCGGCTTTGATTATTTTTAATGAGTATCTCTCAATCTAAAAAAATTTTCCTGAAATTAAATTATTTTTACTAATTAAAACTTAAGATTCACCATTATATTTATCTTCACTGTAACTTAACTAATTCTATATTTATCAAACATAACTTATTATTACTAAACATAAATTTTTAAATTTAAGAGAACATGGCCTTAGTCAGACATGCCAGTAGCAGAATTAAAGACCAGACCAAAATAGGAGATCACAATTCACGAGAAGTAAAACAGTTTTTGGTACACATGATAACAGAAAATAGAGAGGAAACCTCCAATTACAAGGCCTTCAAATCTCTGCATGGCTGCAATACGGTGAGACCAATCCTTTTCTGGTACAAGTGTCGAAGCAATTTTCTCAAATTCCCTGATTAGCTCCTTCTCTGAGTAAACTTTTACAGGGTCTACTGGCTTTTCAGTAACATCTCCATCAGCTGCAAACCAGAAAAACGAATCAAGGTTTTGCCAAAAGGATGCTAGGAATTCCTTTAACTATCGGGAATGATGCTGAAGAAATGACAATTAAAAGAGCTACATACACAAGCAACATACAAACGCTTGTCAAAAAAGGTTCAAAATAAGCTATTCTTGGTTAGTTGTTTCGAACTTAAAGATAAATAAAAACAAAATGTCAACTCACACAAAATACTGTAAAAGCTTTCCACATCTACATATAAAAATTTAAAGGAATAGAGTCCAAAACTGAGATAGTTGAACAAGCTAACCTCCGAACAAAGACGTTTCACGAGAAGAATTTTTCGCTTTGGGACTGTTTCGCTTGGGATTATGATTAGTAACCTTATGCTCATTAACAATACTACTACTAACAGCGCCATCAGAAGAACGGGGCTTTGGTTCAATCCTCTCCAACCTCGCATTAATATCTTTTACCTGCAACCCGGATACCAAAAAAAAATGATAAGAAGATACAAAACTGAAAAACAAAGTTCAATGGTGAAGACCTCAGACTTTACATCATAATCAAGGAGAGAATGAAATCTTAGCAATTTTACAAATTTAACAAGCCATTCCGGAAAAAATATCTCAGATAAAATCAAAAAGAAATTAGTGTCAATGACATTACCATATATGATGGAAGCTGATGCCTTTGTAGTTCTTCTTGGAATTGAGGCCCAATCTGCATATACATCTCCTGCAGATAACAAGAGAAAAATGTATTCACTTTAGACATAGGAAACATTTGTGTCGAAAAGAATTGAATAGATCGGACTCGGTAAAAATACATAAAAACCACGAGAGCAACCACAAGCGTACTATACTAAACTTCAAATTCTTGCCTTTCCTTTTATTAGGATTCCCTGATGAAGAAAACAGTTTTCCACCCTTCTTGGATGAACAAAGATTATGAATTTATGGTACTTGCTAAATCAAAGATACCTAAGAATTTGACTAATTCCAAATTAAGATTTTAACAGATGATTTCATTTTGAACTGACTTAAATCTTTGTATGAAAAAGACATACATATACTATTTTAATTTACCAATCTTGTTTCACTACCCACCAGCCACTAGCAGCTTGCAAATATGATAGTTGAATTACGCCAACACTCAAACAAGCTACAATTACCAGACAGCTATGAAAGCTAATTTCCCAATACATCAGATTTTACAAGTGTAGGAACCATATCCCTCACAATAGTTTTCATTAATACGTTCGACAGCTTGTGGGTACATTATTTTGGTCTTAGGCCTCCTAATGGAAGCGGGTCCACACTCCACATAGAACTAAAACTTGGTTGTTCTCTAAGTTGAAATGAAAATGGGACTTGCTTTTTATAAATATACCCAGTTATGAGTCAAAACACATGATTAGGGACAAGGCACTTAATCAAGCAAACCTTAAAATTTTAAAATCTCTATATTCAACCTCAAAGCTTTTAAATAGTCGAAACCGACACATGAAATAATGGTAAAATGAAATGCATGATATATCCTTCCCTTCTTAAACCCCGCCAAATTCTTCCAATTGAAAACCATCTTTAGTAAACTATCAAAAATATTTCTCCTCTCTCTACCAAATATCAAGGGAAGTTCCACTATTTTTTGGCATCTACATTATACCTCTAACAATCACATGTTACTTAATGAGTAACATATGACTTGGCATAACATAATATTAGTTGTCTTCTTGCAAAGAAAAAAATAAACAAAGGCCCACAATAATTGCACCTAAGGCCTCTCAAAGATTGTCTAACACAACCACTAAACTACAGTTGAACCTAACCAATTATCTCATCATATGCTACCCCAAAAATGAACTCCCTCCTCTCTCACAAATCGGCACCATCTACACCTCTTCCATCTTTACAACTCTCTATTACTATGGTAACTAAATCCTTCCAATAATGTTGTGATAAGTATGCGATTCTCCTTTAGATGAAAGTGCATAGCTATGTGATGAGTATTCCATCTACATCTCCATCATTAACGGTTGGCCTTATGTCATTTAGGAGGCATGCTATAACCAAGGTATAATAACTAGTTCTTATATAAAAGAGGTCATATTCATTACTCCAAACGACTTATGGAATAAGGCCTAATGTAGATGACCTCAGTCAGCTTGGTGAGCAAAAAGGTTAATTTCCCAAACAAGACCACATCCCACACCATGCCCATAGTTGGCAAAAGTTGATTTGACAGAAAATTCAGACGAAACTGACCTGAAGAAAATGGATCTAAGCTCTAGAACACAATTATATGACCCATGACCTGAAATATACAGAAATAAAATTACTCGAAAACAGTGGGTCAGACCTGAATAGTGCCAGTCAACACAATGATTTAAGTGCTTTCCTTAGTTCAGTACATTGAATTTAGGTTTAAAAGACAGTGATGCAAAGCATAGAGACCCAAGAGACTACAAAAGCTTTTGGAACATCAAAAAAATCACAATATACGAATCATATTGTAATTTCTTGGAAAAGAACTCAAACTCAAAATAAACAAATTGAACAAGTAACTATTGCAAGTTTGGCAACTGTAAAATAAAAGGGAATAAATTATGCTGATCATAAAAATTCACCAACCTCGATGCAGGATATTGTAGCTTCCCTAACACTGTGATTGGGATCATTCAACATATGCAATATCTGAGAAGGTGCCAAAATTTTAAATCAGTTATAATTAGTGATAGGAATTAAGACAACTTATTCAACTATAAACGCAATGCATAGCAAGGTAATCAACAAGCTTACTGGAGGAAGAATGGCCCTTTGGAGAGGGAGCTCCGTAGATGCAAACAAATTCATTGCTGATGTCACTGTGCGAGCAAATTCTTCCCGGACTCTCCAGCTTTTATGCTCCCAAGCATAGGAACCAGCTCTTTCCACAATAATTGTAGGTGACGAAACCTGCAAAATGCACCAGCGTGATATGCACTCAATCAGACAGTGATCAAAAGACGCCATAAAACATCATAAAATCACTGAAACGAATTTGGTCAATTCAGTGAAAGAGGACTAAATGCACTAAATACAAAGATGTTCACAACAACCATGTATACCTTTCCTGACCACTATACTGCTTCAAATCGAGAAATTACAACTACACACAGTCCAGCTTTCTATGGAACACCCCTACTTCCAAAAAACAAAATTACTCCGCACTATCAAAAAATTAAAAATTTACATTTTTGTCTCACTAGTGTATCAAATAATAAGATTTCCTTCACATAATTACTAAAAAAAATTATCAGCTACACACAAGCTTCATTATTTAAGCCAATTTCTATTGAAAAGCATTGCATAAAAATTGAACTAAATCAGCCTCAACTCAACTAGATTTATCGCGCGAAAAATCAAAAACATGGTCATCTAACTCATCTTTGCTTTATTTCTAGTGAAATGGATTGCATATAAACTTCATTAAACATGACTACAAATGCAGCCAGATAATTGCATGAATCAGAAACAAATAAAAATAATCATAAACTAAAACCAAACAAATTATTTTTTTTTACAAGAAATCAAACAAATTATATAATTAAAGCAAAAAACAAATAAAAATCATCATAAACTAAAATCAAACAAATCAAATAATTAAAAATTTCCCCCAAATATTTATCAGACTTTTTCTAATTCCAAACCAAAATTAAATCCATTATTCTTCTCAATACCTTATAATTATTCACAATCTCTAATCTTATATAAATAAAAGAAATCAATAAATCAACATCGAAAAAAAGGAATGTTAATAACCTCCATAAGAGTAAGCAAGAGACGGCGAGCGGCATCGCGAACAGGCTGTTTAGCATCACCAAGACGCTCAACAGTAGCAGGAACAAGAGAATTAAAGTGAATTTTAAAATGGTCACCAGAAATAACAGCAGCAGAAGCAAGAGCAAGGAGAGAGCCTTGAGAAACTCTGAAATTGTTATCCTTAAGAAGATCTAAGCAAGTATCAACAAGAGAAGTAACTTCGGAAGAAGACAATGGTTTTCTGGAAGATTCGAGAAGGTGGTGGAGACGTTCGACGGCAGCCATGCGTTGTTTGGTGTCCTTAGCTCGGGCGAGTTCGAGAGCCTCCTCCATTGTTAGGGTTTGGAGGAGATAAGAGGAGAGAGAAAATGGAGCAGATCTGGGGAAGAGAGTGAATGCTGTTGAGGAGAGAGAAAGTGAGAAAGGGGGGTAAAGGTGAGGGAGGAGAGAGAAAGTGGAGTAAAGAGTGAGTGGGATGTGGGAGTGTGTTGGTGGTGGTGAGTGAAAAATGAGGGTGGCTAGATCGACGGGCATAGACGAGGCGAATCTATTTTCTAATATACGACTACTGTTTGTGGATTACGAGATTATTTTCAACCATTGTTTTTCTTCTCAAGGTTACTTATTTTATTTTATTTTTTGAAAACCAAGGTTACTTATTTTTAATTTCGGTTTTCTACTTGAATTAATAAATTAACTTTCCAAAAAAAAAGTAAAAGTGAGGTATACCTGAAACAAAATTATATTTGCTGAACTTAAATTAATTTTACAGAAATGAAATTATTTTTGTCGAATTGTAATTATTTTTACTGATTTTCTATTATGGTTCTTAGAAAACTGAATTTTACTGAACTGAATTTATTTTTACTAAACTGAAATTATTTTAACTGAACTGAACTTATTTTTACTGAACAAAAATTATTTTTACTTAATATTATTTTATTTTTTTTAAGTGAAGAGAATAGGGTCTAAGTTAAGAACTTTTATTGAATACGGGTCTTCATTTATTTACGAAAATGTAATGCTGATTGGGATATTTTGTTGATTTATTTACACAAGCCATTATATTAAAGATTTTTGTTTCTCATGAATATTAAGTGGGCTCCCTTCTATTTATGATTGAATTTATATTGTATGAACTTATTTTATTCTTTATGAACAAATTTTATTTTGTCAAAAGTAGTTTTAGGGCTTTTTTTGGTGTGGCCAGCCACCCCATGCAGCAAACAAACACACGTCAAAATATTGATCTGGTAATTCCTGACTGACCAAGTAACTCCGACCACATTGTATGCCCTGCTACATATGAAAATTTGTGTGTTATTTTATCTAAACTAATTTATCTTTTTTTTTTTTTGAAAAATGTATTTTCTTTTATTTTTCTAAACTTCTTTTCCGATATTATTTTATATAATCGTATTAAATTGAACTTATATTCAACTCATAAGTATGAACTTAATTTATTTAAAATTTTACATGAACCTACTTTTCTAAAATAAGATAACATGTCAAAATAAGATGAAACTAACCGATCTTGAGTATTGTAACTGTTTTCTTTAAATTGATTTTACTGAACGAAATAAAGGAGATATTAATTTCTTACAAGTTCAAACAACATATGTTTTTTCAATTAGTAAAGTTGTTTGTATTTAGGTAAAATCAGATTTTAGTGGTAAAAATTGAAAAATTCGACCAATAAATACATAATATTCCATAGTAATTAACTTATATTTAGGGTCAGTTTCGATTTACTGAGCTGATTGGAGCTGAACTGAACTAAACTAAATTGAAATGAATTGTTTATGAGAGAATGGAATGAAATTAGGAGCTAAACTGAATTGAATTGATTGGAGATGAATTGAACTGGACTGAATTGAAATTAAGCTGTAGAAAATGGGTTAATTATTTATTGATTAAAACTGCAATTTATTGATTAAAACTGCAATTTATCAATCAAGTGATGCAAACTAAAAAAAAATATTAGATCCATGCATGTGAGATCTTGTTTAGGGCTGAGCAAAACTACCCGAAAACTCAAAAAAACCGATCCGCAACTGTTTTGAAAATTAGGGTACCCGATTCGATAACCATAACGGTTCGGGTACCCGTTCCGATAATTTGTTATCGGGTATATATGGTTATGGGTATCATTTTAAAATTAACGGTTACCCAATCCGATCCGATAAACATTTTTTTTTGCTTTTTTCCCTACTTAAATCTATTAATATAAATCTAAACTTTTACTTTACTTCATAATCACTTTATAATATGAATGATTAGTAATATTATTAATAATTTGGTCAAGATCATATGGTATTGTTTTTAATTAGTTGTAAATTGTATCATAATAACTACATAATTAAGTTTAATTATCATTATTGGATATCTTATTGGGTATCCGATAACCGATCCGAAAATCCGGGTACTTGAAATTTGGGTACCCGAACTTATCCGATCCGGTTATGGGTATCACTTTTAGTGATTTTGGTTATCGGGTACCCGAACCGTTAGTACTAAAACGGTTCGGGTACCCGTCCTATGCTCACCCGGCCCCGAACCGTTAGTACTAAAACGGTTCGGGTACCCGTCCTATGCTCACCCGACCCCTACTTGTTATATTCAATAATTTATCATGTTAATATGTTATAAACTATAGCTTTAACTTAAAAGCTATTAGAGATATAAATGACATAAAATATGCATTGACAAGCATGAAACCAGCCTTCTCAATAACTATGTAGGATTGTAGCCTTTTAGGTCCTTCAACAACACCAAATTAGGCCTAATATACTATATATGTAAATGCAACTTTGTGATTAGTTTTTACTTTTTGGAACTACATCAAATATACATTGTGTTAATTACTAGCTAAGCCCTTGATGACCCTTAGCTTGTGGCCTTGTAGCTTGCACAATGAGTCAATGACAAATATATCTTCCTAACAATTGGAACGAGCTTAAAGCAAAGGAAGATTAAGCTTTAGTTAACGGCTAATTACTACTATTAATCAAATAAATGTTGGTTGTTGGCAACTGGCCAAGTCATGTTATTTTATACTTCAAGTTTTCATTCATCTTTTGTGCAATTTGCTACATACGCAAACCTTCAATTAATAATACAACTTATCAAGTTATCATCCTCTACTATACTACTATCTAGGCTTTCAAACATTCTAAAAAGTACTTATACCTTGCTTATTATTAATTGTACCATAATGGTGTTTGACATTATTCAAGTACGTACTTCGCTTTGATCATCCTTCTTTGTAATCTTAACGTGGTACGCATAATTTCAAATCATCAATTTCTTTTATAATTTTCCTATTAGACAATTAATGATATATTAAGCGTTAAATTAAACAACTTTATTTTTGTGAAGTCGAGATCAAAGTTGAGATCAACCTAGGTAATGATTCAAGTTAGGATTGATCATACATTTTACCAAAATTCTAAACCACCAATGTTTTGTCAACGAGTCTAGCTATCAAAGAGACATTCATAAATATAAAAGTTAACTAACCATATTATAAAAGATGAGACCCTAAATAAAAACAAAAGATTGTTGTAGAGGGCGTGAAAAACACACAACCAAACAAGAATATATAAGGCTTAATTAACTTGATGGAAAAGCCAAGCCAACCACCCTTTCTTTTGGACAATAATGCTTAAATAAGAAAAAAAAAAAAGAAAAAAGAAAAGATCGTCCACTTTAACTTTTGTTCAATCATGTTTCCTGTTAGGTTTTGTCATGTTAATTAATACAACTATCTTATACTACTATTATTCAATTATTTCTGATTAAGTGGTCATTACAATCTGGATTAATGTATTGTATTATCATAAGCTTTTACAGGCTGGATGACAAAGGATGTTGGTATGGCCTAGGCATCATCAAGCACAAGGGGTATGACACGTACTCGTGTAAAACAGTAAGTATTTTATTACATTGTCTTTTTGTCTGAAATTAATAGTCGCATATGCTAATTTACTATTGTCGTGATTTTTCAAGCAGTAGTACTCCGCATTAGCTTAGTAAATATGTTTATATTTACAAATACACTACACCACTATTTAAATAGTACGAGTATTACAACTATTATTCCGTATTGAAGAGTATTTGTAAAAGTATGTCTTCTTATTAATTATAAATAGTTGAATACGCAAACATAATATGACAACTAATTCTGAAAAACTAAAATATTGGGTAAAAGAGATGTAAATTATGAAGACATGAACTAATTAGATGCTCATCATTTTCATACCACAAAATTATTCCAATAAGGTCAAGCTTCCCATTATTATTATTAATTAGTTTTGAACTCCTTGGCTCCACGCCTCCACATATATGACATTGGATAAGAAAATTTATGTTAGTTTATGTTTTTAGTGTTTAATAAGACTTAGCTTCACCTAATCTATCCATTAGGTGCAACCAGCTGGAATCTAACATCTTACTTAACGAAATATTGTTATCCTTAATGTCTTCAAAAATTCAATTCATTCAAGAAAAAAAAAAAAAAAAAGAAAGAAAAAAAGGGGAAGTACTGCGTAAATGAAGTCTGTGAAGATAACTAATTGGTAAGAAAAACGTGTAGAGGCCAGGGAACAATATTCTTTGATACTTAATTCCAAAATTGCATATTTAGGTATAAAAAGAAAAACGATAATTCTTGTGTGTGGTTAATCATATGATGTGATAATATGAATTTATAAGGATACTTTTTATATACCTATATATATTTTTTGGTGTTCAGAAATTTACGTAACTCTATTTATGAAATTAAACCCTATTTCCTATAGGAGCAACTCTGCATCGGTCGAGGTAATCCTATTAGCTCATCACGTTAACTGTTACTTGTATTACTCAATTAATACATCTTTTTTTGTTTTTGAAAGAACTCAATTAATACCTTTTATGTAAAGTGGTCACACTATTTGAATAGACCCATATAAGAATTTATGAATAGAAAACGAAATTTAAAATAAATAAATAAATAAATAAACCAAGGCTTGAACATAACTTTTCGAATATTATCCATGTTATCAAAGGGAATAACATTGAAAAAACTTGTGAAATGTAAATTTAGAAAAATAAAGAATCACAACCTTTTTTTTTTTTTTTTTTTTGAAAGAAGAAAGAATCACAAGCTTAGTTAGCTAGGTAAGTAACGAACTTTTCAACAGTCAAATACTTTTCTTCATATATTATTATACTAGCAATTGAATTTCCATCCCAAATTAACAAGTAATTTTGGTTTTGAAAGGATTGAAGCTAAGATTATAAATGGGAGATTTAGATTGCGGCGATTGCAACTGCGACGGCTGCGATTGCGATTGTTGCTGTTGTATAGAGGACTGCTGTTCGGTACGAACTCACTTAACTGATTTTATTGCTCAGTTTTGCCCTGTTTTATTGTTTTATTTTATTTTTATTGTTCGTGTTTGTTTGAATCTTTTGGTAATTCTTCCGATTATTTGGTGATTATGTTGGAATGAAAGCGGGTTGTTTGAGGAGAGGCTAAAGAATGATTTGGGAAGAAAATTTTATGTTTAGCTGAATCCGAAAAATAGGATAATTAACCTAGTTCATATTTTCAGATGATTTGAATAAAATATAATTACTTGTATTATTATCAATAAGATAAAATTAAATAGCTAAACATATTGTTGATAAAAAATGAATCAAATAGATATATGGCCTTGCTCTGAGGTGACTTAATCTCGTGATAAGTCAACTATCGACTTTCTTGTACTATACTTTGTCTTGAAGCATAAAAATCTACATAGTCTATAGGAAGTTCATGCCAATAATCACTCTTGTCATGAATTACAATAACAAGTGTCTCTTGATACATTTATGGTTGATGTTGGTATAGTTATTATACTAACATAAAGTATAAAAATACCAACCATTTTGTTGGTATATTTAGACCTTATATTGGCATATACTTGTTATTATACTCCGTATCAACATAAGATTTAAAAATATCAACGGGGCCTTGTTATTGTCATTAAAAACAAGAATAGTTATTGTTTCAGACAATCTCCATAGTGTATATCAAATAACTGAATAAGAGATGACTCACCCAATAAAAGTACCTCTTCTTACCTTAGAGTTTAGACGCTATAGGTTTAGATTCAAATTTAACCAAGTTAACGTACATAATTGAAGGTGGGGATTCCCTTATATATTGTATACATTAGTTAGTGTTATATTGCATGTGCAGGGTGATCAAAACAATTTGATTCTATGTTGTTGCTTGTTTCCATCCTCTAATGGTAATGCAAGAAGAACAAATAGTGGAGCATCTACAAATACACATACAGACTGCTCGCTATGTTGTTGCTGTTGCACATCCCCTTCTCCAACAACTAACAGATCAGAGGAAAAACGATCTAAGTGTTTTTGTTCACGCCTTTTGGTTGTGGTGCATTGGGAGTAGTAGTAAGCCTTCTCCACCTTCTTCCCCGTCTCGAGGGCAATCATCGTCGGATATTCCATCTCCTGTTCCGGTGGATAACACGGGACGTCGCACCGGAAAGCAAGCTAGCTGGGAAGGGGTTACTAGTTCCCGGAATGATTACAAGATGGATGGAAGATGGTCTAGGCCGGAACGATATGGTGATCATTATCAAAGGCAATTCCAATCATAGTGTTGTTGTGTGCATATATATAATCTCGTTTTTACTCTTGTGACAAGGTGTTTACTATACTTTATTTTATTAATTTGTTAATAATTTGCAAAAATAAAATAAAATAATAATAATAAATAAATTTTCATGTACCTATTCAAGGAGAAATTGACCATAGTGACAAACTTATTGACGAGGTGCATAGAACAAAATATATAACTTATGCATTAGATTTTCATAGCATCATCTATAGATTTGGGTGCATATAATGACATAAATTAAAGGAGACAAGAGGATGGAATTTCAACAAAAAAAAAAGTTAAATCATGGTTTTTTTTTAAAAAAAAAATTCTTTTTTTAAATGTTAGTTATGTTATATCAAACTAAGTATAGTGTCTATGTAATACACGATTTATAAATCATTAACTCTATGATCTATAAGATTAAAATTCAAAGTGATGACAACATGCATGCTATTTGTCACGTGTCAAATTTTCTTGACTTGGTACCATATACATTTTGACATGGTGAGGGTCTGTTCTCATACGTTGAAATTCAATTCAGCTCAGTTCAATTCAGTTCAGCTGAGCTCCTAATTTCCTTCTCTTATAAAATATTCATTTTAGTTCAGTTCAGCTTAGTTCAGTTCAATTCAGTTCAGCAGAGTTCAATCAATGAGAACAGACCCTAGAGTCCATAAAACCTTTTATTTAAAACTTACATAATTACTTAACATTAGATGGGTTATTTAAAATTGCAAGCAAGTCTCTCGCTAAATACAACCATTAGATAGTAAGTTATCTAATCACCCTAATAATAAATACCTCCCTAACTTATATGCGCTAATACTTTATTTGTATTTTTATTATTTAACTAACCACATACAAGGTATTACTTTAGAGTCTGGCTTATGCAATTGCATGTTGTTATTATATCAAATATATTTTTAACCTATTTAAAATCCTTAAAAACAAATACTTAACGATAATTATATTGTTATATTCTAACGACTCCAGACATTGTCTAGGCTAGAAAAAAGATTTTACTTACAGTTTTATATATATTCCAATCCTAATAATCATATCAAAGCTAGAAAAGTTAGACTTAGTTATTGGTTAGAAATCAAAGGCCATTATACAATTATAGATTTACTTTACTGGAAAAATTAAATAAAAGAAAACAAAAAAAATATGAAGGAAGGAGTATGAATTAGGCTAACTATGGGCAACCATATGGTCCATATCTAGTCATCAACAATGCTACTTGGAGTTGATTTCAAGTCAGATGGTTTGAAGAATTTTATTCGGTTGGACCATTTAACTTTTTACCTTGCTTTAATAATTTTTTAGTGCTGTTTTGTGGATATTCAGAGGCTTGTTTATATTTTATTTTTAATAAAATACAATAAAGAAATACTTCGTACATAGTAGCTCTTTTCTTTAATTTGTACTCTCTCTGTTTTTAAATACTTGCTACATTTCTTCATGCGCAGAGTTTTAGGAGAAATTGGAGAAAGTAATAAAACATGGAGGTAGTGGGGTTGGTGGATGAATAAAAATTTGTATAAAATCAAAAGTAGTGGAGAGAATTGAAGGAGGGAGAATATGAAATTAATATTGTTGGTCCACTTGGTGAGAGAAATTAATTAAATATTGTAAAAGCTTTCCAAACAAGGAAATGAAACAAGTATTTAAAAATGGGCGAAAAAGAAAAGTGGAGCAAGTATTTAAAAACGGAGGGAGTATGAAGCAACTAATTTATACCGTATCTAAATAATAGAACCTGTTAGACCATCGTTTACAAAAACTTATCGATTGCAAGTTTCAATACTATTTCTACTAACATCATATAGTAATATGAGTAGATATTTTCCAACTTTAAGTGTTCGAGTTTAGTCAATTTTCGGAGTACATTGTTAAAGCATGATTCGGATATTAATTTAGCTACCTTTTAAATTCATGATTGAACACAAGGAATACAAAGTACGTTGTACTAAATATTCAATTGATGAAGCTGAAATGTTCATTGCTTAAGTGACAACAAATTAACAAGAAGCCAATGTTGTCGGTTTAATACAAATCATATTACATTATATTGACCTTATCTTAATTTATAAATATATAATTTGAGGCCAACATTTTCTAGTATAGAATAAACTCAACATTCTAGCTAATAATAATAATAATAATTTACTACTATAGCTAAAAACAGAGTTGTCAATATCTCTAGTACGCACTTCTACGACTGAGCAGAATAAACAGCATGGTATGGGGCTACTGCATAGTGCATATATTGACATATTATGTGCATGAAAACTTTGTTATCAACGAACAAGGACATGCAGTAGTTTAATGTACTATAGCCAAAGCAAGCAGCCAAGCAGTCATCCTTTCGTGTCGTGTTTCGTGTATAGACGACATCCATCCATGCTCTTGGGTCTTGGCATACAAATGTAGCCAAATCTTCACCTTCAGTATAATTCTCGAGGTTATGAGATCAAGTTTTGTAAGATATGGACCGTAAGGTACTATGGTGATTGGTGAAGTATATAGTACTTACGATACACATGTACTTAGAATGGCATACACATACTCATTGCATGCATCTACTATGAATTTGCAGTATGATCCTCTCTCGGTGTGTGCTTGAATTGGGCGTATATGATGAAAAATGAAGAGAACAAAGTCGGATGTTAAAGGGATAACCTAGTTATTGTGAAGAGGAGCTAGTGATCCAACAAGGCACGATGATGGTGTGGTTTATCGTACATGACACTAGTGGTTGGTCGGTTGGACCTATCAAAGGGGAAAATGTTTAGTAGAGACAGTATCAGAACACATATACTCATACCAAGTAAAAATCACTCGAGTCATGAACGTAAACCCAGTTTGCCCAAACCATCTCATGACGGCCTTTCTGAAATGCATTCCAGGAACGTAGCGCAACCGACAAGAGAGCCAATATGCTACACGTTGCCCCTTTCCCCTGTCAACTCGAATAATTGATAATTGGTACAAGATGTGGTAATACCAGTGAACAAGTTCATGACAGTGGGGTTATCATTAAATGAAGCTACATCCCCTCAACTGTTCCAAGTGTGATTGATTATATCACATGAACAAATACTACTGCCATTTTGGCATTTGTTACTCAGAGCTTCAGACTGTGAAGCCAAAATAACTGCGAAGTACAGCAAATATTAAACCTGTTACATCTTATGGATAAAAAAAAAGAGGAGGTATATTACATTGTTCGTTTTAATTTCTGACTTTTTGCTTCAATGATCCTGCTGCATTGTATATGAAAAATATTCACCAAAAAAAAAAAAAAAAAAAAAAAAAAAACTTGTACCAAAAAATGTAGCAAAAAGTTCTGCATGCTACTTGCACTGCCTATTAAGTGATGAATTGACATCACAATGAGAAACCCTATAGATGACATTCATGGATTGCAAAAAAAAAAAAAAAAAAAAAAAAAAGAGCAATTTTTCTCATGGATGTTGTTTTAAGTAGGGAACGTTTGTCTAATTCATGCCATTATGTCACTGCTCTATGGATCATCATCATAGAGCGTGTCTTGAGAAGGCGAGGTTGAGATCATCACAATTGATTCTCCATTGTATTGAAATTCAGAAAGTGCCGATATGTAATCAGCCTGGCAAATTTTGTGGTTTCCTGTAAGATCAATACGTTGAAGATTCCCTGATTCAAAACAATTTAAGTTCATTTCAGAACCAGATATATAACCTGAGATGAATATGATCAATTACATCAGTGTAGAAGAAAATTCAGCATTGGTAAATGCTGTCGCTATCTGAAAGTAGCTACTCCAGTAGGGAATTTGTACATTTTTAATAGTTTACAAGGTACAGGTTGTACACTTCTCTGAAGCAAGGGTTCTTTCTACTAAGAACTATATTTCGATTTTAACAACCCAACCCTGATTAATAATTCCCGACTTCCCAGGTTAAAGAGCATAAACAGAATATAGGCTGCCAAATGAAGATTTGATCAATTTCTGAATTTCTATATCCTTTTGGCAACAACCTGGCCCCATGATCAACTCTAGCCTAGAGCAGCTACTCCAAAATAGTCACTTAACAAGAATGTTGAGAATATAGACTAACATGGAAGGTCAAAGCATGAGAGCTATACGAAAGTATGCGTCGGAACTCGGAAACACAAGTTAATAATTTTAATATAATCATATTAAAAATCACTACAAGATAATAGGAATTTGTGGACTGAAATCAAGATATATGGCTATTCAAAAGTAGGCCTGTTTTGCACCATCTTAGAGCCATCCTGACCCTGTTGATATTTCTCTTTGAAGGTTGATTTGAAAGGACCAAGTTGAAGTTTAGAGTTTCACTCAGACTGCAGTCCCAAACAGAATAGAACAGATTAAATATATGGCAAAGGGCAACACAAGGCAATGTTATGTTTGTGTTTCTAGAGAGGGCCGGGGCTCATGCTGAGAACTATTTTCAGCATCATCATGCCTTTTGGACCTAGGAGGAGCGTTAACTCAATGTCCCCAGCCTGAGTTCAAGAGCTTTGGGAGCTTCATTGACTACTAAAATTAGAATTTGGGTGGATTAGAAAAACAGTTTTCCTTACAAATCACAATCTCATCCCGGCAGGGTGCTTAGAGCATATGTTTAAATTGCTTATTCCAGGGAGCTCTTATTCCCTGATAATCTGGACTATGGAATGATTTTTTTTTTCCAACATAGATTTTCTCTATCGTAAGAGGCCAGCTGGTCCTTCCAGTTCTATAAATGACATAGGCAACCAAAAAAGAATTTTATTTAAAAAAAAAACACAAGAGACTGCAAACTATGTTGATGTTTATCAAGCAATATAGAGTCAATCAGTCAATTAACAAATTTGGAATGCTTAAGCAGTAAGATGCAGTTTCCTACTGATAACAGGGTGACTTCTGGTATATTTCCAAACAAAGCAGTTGCTCATGAATCAAAAAGTAGAAGAAAATTACTTGGCAGTGGTTACCATTTGAATTCTGCTATAATTTTTTATTATCACTGTAGCATACCTTTAGCTGTTGTGAGGGCTGAACATATAATTTTCAAGGATTCCGAGGGCATTAAATTGTATCCTACATGCACATCAACAAGTTCTGAAGCTCTAGAGATAAGATCTTCAAGAAATTCCGCAGCTTGGATACCCCCACGATTTTCACTGTGAAAACATAGCAATTCAACATTCAAATTGATTAAAAATTATTGGAAAAGTCGCAAAAAGGGGTCCAAGAAGTACCTTATGTTAATGCTGATTAGCTTCACCACATCTGGCATATTAATCCTCAGTTCTAAAAATCCAGATGAACCTAGGCCAATGTCCCTTATATCAAGCGACCTTATAGATGTGTGCATAAAATCTCCGAGTAATGGTGCTATTTGGCTTCAAAAATATGACAAGACATCATCATTTACAAGTAAAACAACAAACATTCACCAAAATAAATAGAGATTTCGAAGGGAAAAAAAGTAACCTTCCAAGATCATTATCTGCCAGAGAAAGAGAAGTCAGAGGGTATTTTAATGCCAAAAGAACTTCCAGAAGTTCAGTTGCTCCATTACAGGAGAGCTTACAGTTCTTCAAATTAAGATTGGCAAGGGGAAAGTGTTCAAAAGTCTTGACAAAGTAGGGGATTAAACACCTGCGATGTCAAGAAAAGTTTCATAAAACTATAGCTCACTGTTGAAATGGGCAGGAAGTTGTCAAAAAAAAAAGGCCAAGACAACAAACTCACTTGATCCCATCATCCTCAAAGGGATTGTCATCTAAATCCAGAGTCTCCAAAACTGGCATATGAATGAGTGCAGATGCAAGGTCTTCAAGGTCATTCTTCCGCAAATTGTTGCCCCTATAGTAAGAGATAGATCTTAATCAAACAACTTCCACATACACAGATGGAGAGGAGGGAACTTAATAAAGAGCAAAAAAAAGACAAAGTTTTATGACATCAATATCCTAATAACCAAAATAAACTAGTACAAAGCTAAAGCTTCCATAACAAGAACCTACAAAAATTGAAAACAAGATTTACTATCAGTCAGTTAATGCAGACACGAAATTCATGGAAGTAGTAAAGACTGAAAGTGGACACTTTTAGTTAGCTCAGAGTGCAGCTTCATCAGGGAAGTTTCACATAGGTCCCCAACAGATTGTTCTCTTCCATACCCAACAGCTTTTAACACCAGAGAGGCAGTTAGTTGTAAACAAATTCGCATAGTTAAGTCCTGTATGAAGTCTTCATTAAAATAATGGTGTATACAGATAGATGTGGCACGATATCTTTTTTCTGGGTACGTTACTTTTGCACGAGGAAATCAGCAAAAACAAAGCTCAGAAAATCTTTTAAGCCAGTAAAAGCATGTCGTAGACTAGGTTCCCTGTTCAAAATTTTGGTTGGCATTTAATACACCAGTCCAGTAAATAAAGTTTCTCATAGAGCTTTCATTCAATGGAATTCTGCCAAACAGATTCTTAGCCAACTGGGTATATAATATACTCCCTTACAACACATGAATACTTGTAAAACATCCAGAGGCAATAGGTGGATTAAATTGTTCCATTACTTCCATGGGTGCAAAAAAACCTGCCAGACTGTCACTGAGTTGAGAATATGAATTTCACAAATGTTTTGAATTATCTTTTTCCTTTCTTTGACAGTATAAAGTATGACTTCAACTAGATTCTGGGATATTAATCGATTTCATGTAATTACAGGAGGTAGCTGACGGAACTGTAAGAAACTCTAATTCAGAACAAAGAACCAGATTTGAATCAGATCAAGGTTATTTTGGTGCAGAAATGACAAATTGGGAATCAAAGAAAATGAAGTTAGAAAAAGCAGCCAAATGAGCAAAATGAGATCAATTGAGAAGCACTGAATTGGGAGGAAGGGGGTTTCTGTGAAAGGATTCATCTGAGATAAGAGTAAAATGTTCACATGTTCCACTGTTCGTCTCATTTATTATCCAAGCACTTTTGATCAAATCTGGTCAGGGATAATCCCAAAATCTTAATAAAATCAAATTCGAACATTGATAATAGAGAGTGGAAAGTATGGAATCAAAGAGAGTTTCTAAACCACTCCCTTTGTTGGAAGTATGTCCTAGGAAATGATAGTTCATAGGATTAGATACAAATAACGAATAATTAGTTATATGATCAGATACAAACGGATGAATTGAACTATTTTTTCCACCATAAAACATGTGAGAAGAGATAAAAGGGAGAAAAACTCTCCTTGCACAGTTGCACATCGATCTAAGTTGTCAACTTGTAATGGACCGAGTAATTGGGCCTGCTGTTAAGCCACCTATACTCAAGCAATATCAGAGGAGGGGTAAGGTCGTCCAAACTGGATTTCCACCAATCACTACAGCAGCAACATATGAGGAGGTGGCGCAAGAGGACAATGTCAATTAAAAGAAGCAGAGGGCAGTAGCAACTTTGGGTAGTGGAACCTTGGCAAAACAATGGCAGTGAATGAAGACAAGAATTAAGGGCAGCTAGCTAGTACTAAGTTGTAACCCTTGTGTATAAATTACGAGGTTAGGGTAAGCAGGAGGTTATGTGATTAGACTGATTTGAATTGAGCTTTGTATCCTAAAGATACTATTTTGGAGAGTGGTAGGCTGAAGCTACCATTTTATCTTTTCCTTTCATTAATCAAACACCATTGCTAGCTGCCTCATTTGCTCTGTTTTCATTATTGTTTATCTCTGTTTTCGTGCATATTAGTGTAGGCGAGGGTTGAGTCCCTCACAAGACTCTTGTTGCGGTTCGATGTTGTGTGCCAACCATCAGAGGGTATTCAATTGAAGTTCTAAATTTTGTAACCTGGTTGAATTGGCTAGGGAAAGCACGCATAAAAGTATATCAATTTCAAGATAGATTCATAAGTAACATGTGTATCATTCGATGCTTTTTGCAAACCTTGTTTTCATAATTCCAAGACCCTTGACAGCAATAACCATTCCAAATCTAACAAAAATGAAAGATGAAAAAGCCAAATGTATCTAACTGTGAGTTAATCAATAAGTTGATGAGAATTCTAAGATATATTCGCAGAACATTTATCTTCAAGGCTTTTCATTGATTACACCAATAATAGGTTGTTCTTGTGTTGTTTTACAAAAGAGCTCTTAGGGCTTGGTCTAGTAGAGTAAGCTGAACGTTAGGCTGGTTGGTTCGCTACATACATATTTCTAAGAGTAGTAACGTGGACATGTAAACGTGGAATGCATGACAAAGAAGAATGTGTTTGTGTCAAAGTTGCTGTAGATGATGAAGATTTGTTAGTATTATGCTTGTCACACATTGCTTATGCTAGAAACGTTTAGTGAATTGTTTGTTTATTTATTTTTTTTTTAATTTATTTTTTATTTTTTTTATGCATTAGTGGGCCAAGCCCAAAGAGAAAACAAGCAAACAGTAAGCAACAAACCGAAGTTCAGCCACCCTCACTATGTCCTCCCAATGTCGGTCCTTTATTTCGATTGGAGGAGTATCGAAATAAACGACCCTTTCTTCGAGAAGAACCCCTACATTAACAAGAGAATCTGCTACACTTCCCTTATTGGGAAGTTCCAAATTTATTAAGAATTCACTATATCAGCTAGAACAAAGCCTGAGAAGTTAGTTTCAAAGTGGACTACTTTTCTTCATAGTCATCGAAAATTGCATTATCAGTTGCATCACTTCAGTCTGCACCTAACATTTGATTAATTTGGTTGGTGAAGGTAATACAGTATACCTTAAATTAAGCACACGTAAAGACTGCAAAGACTTGCTCCTTTTGCAAGACAAGGCTTGATTGGAAGAGCTGCACCGAAAATCAGAAAGCCAGCCTGAAATCTGCAGTAAAGTGAAAACTTGTATTGATAATATGAACTTCACAACAAAGAGGACAAACATTTGATGTGAGTTGTTCCAAATTTTAAGATGATTCTGATTAAGAAAGAAAGCACACAGGGTTTTAAATAGGCAGATGATAAAGTTTGCTTACATTGTTATCTGACAGTTCTAGGGTGGAGAGAGCAGATGAAGCATCAAGAAGTGCCGTGAGAGTCAATTTAGCATAATTTCTCCCAATATGGTCGTCACAAAGGCTTAATGACTCCAGTGATCTGCAGTGACAAGGAAATTCAACAAAAAGCAAATCTGATACAAGAGGAAAGATGATTGAGAAGTAAAGCGTCATATTAATGATCCATGAGCTTGCTGATTTGAATTTCACTAAAAATGTTCCCTAACATGGGTCTCTGTTAAGACAATGAAAGTACTCCAACTTCAAATAACAAATTCTAAGAACAAAATAGGGAAATAATTACAAGGAATGCACCTTGATGATAGAAAGGAGACGAGCTTTGGCGGAAAAGACGCAGGATTTTCTTCTAAAAATTTTGATGCTTTCACAGAAAAATGTTTCACTCCATGTGCTTGTGTACCTTCCATTTCCAATGTATTACAGATTACCTCCAAAACTGCCAATGAAAACTTGCAGTTGACAAATTCCAGAGATGTTATTGTTTCTCTGTTCTGGTTCAGTATCACGCATAATCCATCATGCTGCAACAACATATGACATATACTCTTAGAAAACACCAGATGTACATACAAATGCCTCTTTCAGTCAGATAATGGCACTTTAACACACATTTTCTTTGCTGTTTCTGCTATGTGAAAAGGATCTATATCCCACAATCAACCTTGTACCATTTCAATGCATAATATTCAGTGGTATAAAGAAAGAATTAGATATTTGTCTAGATAGGGCAGCACAGCCATCAAAATTTAAGATTAGAATTAGGTTTTAATGTTTTATTTTGAGTTCCCTGGGTAAAGCATACTGAATCAGAAGTTACCTATTTCAAAAGGATTGACTACTTTCAAAAACACATTGACAATACAAAATAATGGTTCATAAATAATTGTCCATGGTGACAGCACATTAACTACTTGCATCTACAAATATGAACGCAATTAATCATTGAATAGGTTGAAACTTCGAGACAAATGAGCATTCACTCTTTCGCAAGCACTGAAATTAGAGCCAAAGTACTCGAAAGAGCCTACAATTATTGCTTGAAGGAAACTTACTCAAATATTTTTTTTTTTCTTCATGTTTTAGGAAAAGGGTCCATACTCTCCATAAAATGGGACAAACACATCTAGTAAAAACAATCTAGGAGTTATTAGATAGTTAAGTATTGTTAATAGTGCATTGACAAACTTTAATGTTTTTTGGGGTTTCAAAACTTCAAAAGACAACATCCAAATAAAGGTAAAAGGCATTCCATTTCATCAATTTTATTTAGTTCAATATGTAATTTAATGCTCATTATCTTTATATCTATAAATTACTACTTGGAATCATTGCCATATATCCGCTTAAACTACACCAATTAAATAGTTCTTACACGCCCTGGCCCAGCGCCTTAACCCGTAAAGATGCTAGATAAGTTACTTTGTCCTGTGCTAATTCAGAACATAATAAAACTCCAGAAAAGACACGGAAAATTTTGCTCCAACCAAAAGCACCACAAAATTGGCATAAGAGCATTGTCCCCTCTATTGTGCCACAACACCTTCTTTCCATTGTCCTTAACAAACCTCGAAAATTAAATTATTAGCCAATCGACCAATCCACCACTGTCAAAGGGTAAACCAATTAACCAACATTCAAGATCCTAGGCAAACAATCACTTCCAAAAGTAACTTGCCATTTCACAATAAAGGAAAACATGTGAGCAGGACACACTAGCGCTTCGGCACAACAAAAAAATATCAGGTGAAAGAACTATAGCATCAACGTACACCATTGAAGCATGTCAGTATAATTCTATCAAAATGCCAAATAATTGCCGATCTCTAAACAAAAGCTCTCACCTTTAAAGGAACTTTTCCAATCAAATTTACCATCAGGTCAAACAACAGAGTAAAGTCTTACTTAAAAACCTCCCTTTAGAGTTCCCCATCCATATCTTTAAATCCTATACTGCAGTCAATTGAAGGTTGAGATCCTCCAGACACAGGGGCATTATGTAGATAAGAACATTAGTGGTATAATCAGGTTATTAAACATAAAAAGTTTGCCCTCCTCTTTGAACATCTATTCAAGAACAAATGCAAGAGACCGAGAAACAGCCCCAATCTTGAACCTCAGTAGAGCCGTAGAGGGAAGAATAAGTGAACACCCCTGAAATAAATATTCATAGACAACCATGTGTAACTCTGGCAACAATTTCCTCTGTGGATCCCAACCATTTTGGTGCTAACCAGAATTTTCTCTTATGACTCAATGCCAAGGGGACACTGAATCACGAGGGGCGGGCCACAACCATCTATACACAAGCACAGTCTTTTTAGCCACCACCTTCCCAGATGACACGACACACGAATTCCAAACCCACGAGGTGATCTTTCTAACATCAATAGACCCAGACCACAGAAAATTCCCCATCATCTTCTCAATCCAACTATACACTCACAGGTGTTTTGAATAAGGAAAGTTAGTAAAGAGTGATACTATAATTCAGTTAGTTTTCTAGTACTTTGAAATTAAAAGCAAACATACAATAAGCAGCCGTAAATGCTTTTACAATTTCACAAACGCAAGGTACATATAAAAATTAGTAACTGCAATAATGTTTGACGCGCCAACATGAAGCTACTAGAAGAAGGGAGCTGAATATAGCTCAGACTTATGAAGAATCATAAAATTTTAAGATACAGGGACTCACGTGCATGTCAGAGGAAAGTCTCCTTAGCAACAAACCTTGCAGCTTGCTGTTTGCTAGTAATTGCTGCAACAGAGCATAATTATCAGAGAACAATATAAGATGCTATGTAAAAACCAAGAAATCAAAGCACACCCAAAAAAAATAAAAAATAAATAATAATAATAAAAAGAAAGAGATACAGGGAGAGAGAGAAGCAAAAATCAATCCCAAAACAAAATTAAAGAGAAAGGGAAGAAGTCAAGAGCCTGTAAACTTGGGTTAATTTCAAAGGATTAGCATAGTTTAACGTCTTGTTTGCGCTAGAGTACATTTGATAACAAATTTGACATTGAATTAGGTTTACAATTCACTAAGAGAGAGTCAGTCAGACCTTCAACAAAACGTTGTAGAGTAATGCAAATAAATAATCATGTTGTCCATGTAGCATATATAATATATTAATATACAACGTATGGACTTAATGGTTAAGGAATTTATGTTAAGGATGATGACCTTACAAGTTAATATGATATATATTTTTTACTTTATCTTGGTTAGGTTAGTTTTTATTCAAACCCCCTGCCAGGCTTCAAAATTTTCATATAAGTCCAATTTTGATCTCTTTTATCCTAATGAGATATAATCTACGTGACCAGTGACTATTAATGAGAGGTAGAAATTACAAGGTATTCTATAACACCGTTGGAGACAATCTCCCATCATTAATATCTATGATCCAAAATAGCTTCTTCTTCACCCATCAGCGCACTGGACCCTTTATATGTCATTTTCTGAGTAAGAATATAAGTTCGATGATCAAGATATAGATCAAAGAAAAAATCTGGAAAATGTAAAAAAGATTTTATCATAAAAAACAGACACATCATACCAAAATTTGGCCCAAACATGATAGATTTCAAAGGGATGACATCAAAGGGGATTGTTGAGGAGAAAATACGAGCAGTTGACAACTAGCAACTCCGACAGTTAACAATTAATCTGTACAGCATAATGTGACAATCATCATGCTGTTAAACTTGTATACAAAATAAAAAAATTAATTAAGAAAAGTTTAATAAGCCCTGGGAAGGCCTTGACATACAACGACCAGGAAAACAGCTTGATCCCAAAGAGATGAACAAGACTAGAAGTAGTAGCTCAATCAAGGATTATTATATCACTCCTTTACAACACACATGGGCATACAGCAACCATGAAAGCAGGCTGCCAGTTCTCCCAGCCCGTCCAAGACCCAAACCAGCATAAGTCACCAGGAAATTATCAAATTTAGAAACTTGGTAAACCACCAACTCTCCTTATGCTGTAGTGTCCTGGTTTTAAGATAGATGCCGACATTTTTTAAATAAGGCCATGTTGCACATCATTGCAAGAGTGCAAGAGTGCAAGTGCAATACTTTTCAGCTTTACAGATATCTAATTTACTTGTGACTAGTTTTTAAGAGAGAAATTTGCACATAACTGGTTCTACATACTGCAGACAGTATGTGCAAAAACAGTTTAACTCAAATGGGACTGCCCAATACATATTCTGGCAAGAAGGTATCACCAATTTTCCAGAATCCACAAGATCCTATTCCTCAAGTCTACATACCAAAGCTGATTATTAATGCTTTCTCAATGTTCCACCAAAATGTCATCGAATATCAACAACCTACACCATTTTTACCCCAGGGATACAAACTAAAGCTGATAATAATGAACTCTATCATCTTTGATATCTTTAACCAAAATAATCCGCAATTCCAAAGCGGCAAAGCCTATCAGCCACACCAAAAGGAACCTGTGCCAAATAGATTATGCTTAAAAGAAAATTCGGATGAGAGTGAGAGGAAATATAAACTCATTTTTACTTGTATAGCCTTTATACAACCACAGGGCATTGAACTCCTCACCCACCACATGGATAAAAACTCGAATTATTAAGTGGTGATAGGCTACCATTTAAAACCAGCCAAGAACAAAACCTCAAGATGGACAAACTACCATCCCTCCCCTTATTTATTTAAAAAGGACTTGGCCAGATAGATGCTATTTCCACACCTAATAAGCTCAACATACTGAAAAGAAATACATTCTTGAACTTATGTACATAATATGGAAAGTTGGAATATTCTTTATGACAAACTACAAACAGTGGCAGAGCCACATTGTGTCCTGGTAGGGACGTGCCCTGCCAGGTTTAGATATAAAAATAAAAATAAAATAAAAGGTCAAAATTTTGTTTAAATAGAATACAAAGTGCAATATTATGTTTGAGCTTACTAGTAGTCTAGTGGTTAGAGCATTACCTTTTCAACCAAAGGTCATGGGTTCTAACCTCTTGCCCAACATTCTTTTTTTTTTTTCCCTCTTTTTTTCTTTTCTTTTCTTTTCTCTTAATGTTCTATTCATCCAATTTCCCAAATAACACAAAAACTTACCAACATAATAGTTTGATCACATTGGGCAAGATTATTGATGATATAATGATATGCTTTCAAAACTTGAAAACTAGAAGTTTTATTTTAATATTTATTTTTACATGTATGAGTATACTTGAATTATTACTTATAAATCCTTATAATTAGTATTTTGGATCATCCTATTTGATACGAAAAATCTATCTAGTGATTCCAAACATATTATAAACGATCTAAAAAAACACGAGGTTATTGTTTAAAGTCTTGAATAGGGGTAACATTTGATGTATTTTTTGAATAATAAAGGTTTAACAAATACGATTGCCAAGTAATTTTGAATCTTGATATTTTGAACATTCTTTCACAAATGTGTCTGGATTTTTTTTTTTTATATAAAATCCTGGCTCCGCCACTGACTACAAATATAGCACATAGACCTCCTACCCTTCCGCAAGTGAGCCATTCATAAAATGGACCCACCCTCTCCTTACCCCCCCCCCTAAAAAATAAATAAAAAGAATCCGTCTCCAACCACCAAACTACTTCTCAGATATCATATTTGTCAATATCAAGAAGCAAAGGAGAAGAAAGAAGATAACATTGAATACACCTCCCACATTTGAATTTTCCATTCCAGCACTAATTACTTGATGCAAATAGCTCTAACTATCTCTAGCACAAGCTTTTTCCGGATCAATCCAGCACAACGACCCTTATTACCTATGTTCATTGTCCACTGCAGATTACATTTGAACCCAAACCAGAGTCAAGCTAAAGAGAAACATCAATTTGACTGACCATATATAGCCGATTTGGTCGTTAACACAAAGAATAATAATTAATGGCAATCGAAAGGGGGGAGGAGAAAAAGTGACTATATGTGGTTTTCTGCAGCTGACAACGGCTGGGATTCTGGGATGACAAGAAGGGAGAAGGCAAAAGGATGGAAGACTGGTTAAAATACAATTTACTGAAAATAGCTAATTGATGATGAGATGTAACAAATAATGATACACAAGAGCGAGACAGAGCATTTGAACTCCCTCTAAAATTGAGTCAGTGTTAACATCTAATGCCATGAAAAATAAAACAGTAGAACGTATGAATCAAATCCTAGATCAGTGAAATGCTCAAACTTGACCAGAAAAAAGTAAATGGTAGCTTTCTTGTCACATTTTTTACTCTGAGTACTCACTCTACTCAGACACCAGCAGGAATAACAAAATTTGTCCAGCTTACAAAAGAATGCTAATTTTCCTATTATTATATCATCAATATGAGAGCACATATTTTACTTGCAAGTGATATAAAAAGAATTATTTTGTAAAGAATACATTCAATCACTAGTTAAAGCTTTACCGTACAATACTTATCTCTGCCGCAACCCCAAAAATCAGAAAGTAGATCAAATATTACTTCAACTAGAAGCCAAGGTTATCTACTAAGTGTGAATCATCAGGATCCAAAAAGTTAATTTTCAACTAAACCTTCCAAAAGAGATAGGAAATTATCTCTGATATCAAGAAACACACTTCTTTTTACAGAAAACGGTAACACTATTTTTGAAAACATTATTGAATCTTGACAATGTAAAGCAAGTTTCAGTTTATACATCTTTTGCTTTTCAGAACAGGAGATAAGACAGCCACTTACACAAGTTTCCTTATTGCAAAATATGTTCTGAAGCCTCAAAGATCTGCAAGCACAAGAATACCATTTAAGCACCTTCAACTTTCCCAAGATAATTGAACTTCAAATTACAACATGATATTAACCATGCAAACAGATCTTTGCAACAACATAGATGAACAATAACAGGGTCACCACTATATGCAAGTAAAACCTCAAAGAACACATAAAGTGATGAAAAAGATGATCAAAAGATCTATCCCATAAAATTATCAATTAACCAGGAAAACATGGATACGAACAGCTAATGTATTCTACCTCACATAGCATCCAAAGTCTTTGCAGTGACCACGCAATCTGGAGTAATGATGCATTGAACCTTTAGTTGGTTCCTCATAACCCATGATTTTGATTAGTCCATCTAGAAGTAAATCATAACAATAGGTTAGCACATGAATATGCAAAAGAAAAATATTCAACTAGAGATCCAACAACCAAGTTACACAGCAAGATGAAAGACATATGAGAGCTGAATACATATTGGAACTGACAGGAAAATTACTTTTGTCGGGAAGTTTCGGGACAAAATTATTTATATTTTCATAAACTCCTAAAGAAGCAAAAAGAATAAACACAAGAAACCGCAGAAGCATATAGATGAACACAATAGCAAACCAAAGTCAAATGGGCAATCTGGGCTGGACTGCTGGATCATAACATCAGTTCAACTAATTACCAGAGCTTCCACCAAATAAAGTTTTTATCCCATGCCCCATGTTCAATAATTGTATGGCAGATGAATTGGCTAAATAAAAAATATTGGTAGCCCACTATAATAATGTTTCAAAATAATATAAAGCCAATCTAACACATCAAAACTTCACATCCAATTAAACCTTGAAGAAAGCATCGAGGTACCTGGAATTTGAACATCCCCAACACATCCATTAAAAGACGGTAACATAGCTCTCTCTGCAGCTGCATCAAAGCAACTAACATTTGGGTGAGAAGCCTGAAAATAAGTAATGATCAAATGAAATTTTGATTGAAAAAATGAGCTAGCTTATTTTGTCGTTTCACATACTTCTGAAGATGCAGTTCCCAATACTTATGTTGCCAGTCAAATGTTGCTTCACATTCCAACATACTTTTTTGTGACGAAAGGTTCTCTTGGGAATGCTTGACAAGTTCAGGCCAACGCAAGGAAAATAATGCCTTCCATGCAATTTCGAACTTGCCATATCTGAGAAAGAGTACTGAATATTACAATCCAACTTTGCCGGAAAGGAGAAAGAATGCCATTGAATGAGAATCTTACCTCACACGCTTCCTTCCATTTCCAGAGCAATCATACTCAAGGTCAAACTCAGTCTGTCTCTCCAAAGGCCTGCCAGGATATATAGAATAACACAAAAATAAATATCTAAAACTTGGGGAACTATTTCCAACACTCCATAGACGAAAATAGGTATCCCCTCCTTCGCACCTAGAAGATGTTCGTTTTCACAAGGGATGATATTGATGGATGACGGGTATATATTCAACATCACTAGTCATAAATATGTCAAAATTGATGTAACAAAGACGCATAAATAGATAAGTAAGGCTAGTCATTAAAAAGCTAATCTTGTTTGCTTAATAAACATGAAAAGCAATGCAGCTCAGCATTCCACTCGAGCTTGGTTCAAGCACAATTGCAAAACTATGATTATATTCAGCAAGCTTGACATCCGCAATAGAAGGTTAGGCTTAATCGGTCCGTAGTCCACACCCCTCTTACTATCCAATAAACTGTTATGAATTACCGCCCATTTTAACTCAAAGACTGAACACATAATTAGCCCTATTCCAATAGTCCTCACACTACTCTAACTTGTCAATACCAAACCAAATTCAAAGAGCCAAGCATTATTAACTCACTAAAACTGGCACATAAGCAATACAATGAACAACATACAAGATTATCTACACATAAGCAATACAATCCCCGCCCCGCCTCCCCATAACTTGATAGATCAAATTAAAAAAAAACCAAGCAAAATCATCAAATAAAGAGAATTGAAGCGAAAACAAACAATAATATAACCTAATCAGAAGTTGGGTTTTTTTTTAATTTTGTGAATTGAAGTGGAAATCAAAGAGTACATACATTTGTAATTGCAATTTTTGGAGGGCTAATGCAGGCAGCTTCTTCAATAAACCATCAAACAGCTCAGTGGGTAGCTCATATATTCCCTGCACAATCTCATCATCTTCCCCTGCAAAAATTTATATTTAAAAAAAAAAAAAAAAAAAAAAAAAAAAAAAAAAAAAAAACCCAAGAAAAAAGATGAAAAATTTGATATACAAATTAATGAATATTTTAACTAAAATTAGGCAAAAAGAAAATTAAGAATATTATTATACCATAAAGGATGTGACTTTGAAGGGCACCATAGCAGAGGTTCACCAAAGATGGAGTTTTTGCCATTGTTTCGCAATAATTTAACACGATTATGCTGCAATTAGTAAAGTAAATGATGAAATTTGAAAAATCAATAGAATTTGGGTAATTACTACTAGCAGTAAGAGTTAAATGGGGAAAATGAGGCAGTTACCATATGACAATTAGTGGTTTGTGGTGGCGGATGTATCATGCGCATGATACATCCGTTCCAAAAAAAAAAAACGGAAAGAACATTATATAGAGATGTAAAGAACATTTAGCTAAAATTAAAAGAACATGAAGAATATAATAAAAGAACATAAAAAAAAAAAAAAATTAGAGCTATTAATAACAACGAACATAACACTATCTTATAAAGAACATAATCTTCAACCTTTGTCACATTATTCTCAAATTCAACATCCAAATTCATCAAATTTCAAAAAGGAAAATAAAGGGGGTTGCTAAACGCAACCTAGATTTACTTGACGTAACCCTTTTTCCCTTATTTTTTTCAATTCTAAAAGCCCTTATTTTTGTCAATTCTAAAAGAACTATAAAATTTATATTTTATCCTCCTCTTTCAACTAAGTAAAAAAATCTTACTAAATTTTAACTTTTTGTCACAAGAGTATAAAATCGATTTAAAATACTAATTGGGATTGCAATGGAAGATAATTTTGACAAAAAAGAACTCATAATTGATGCAAGTATTTTGTTGTTTATTTTTATTTTCAAGTACACTTTGTGTAATACGAGTGAAACGTGCTGCTCTTTTTTATTTCAATCACATTGAACAAAATCAATATCTATATTTCGCACATATTAAAATAACATACTCTATTTCGTAAATATCGAACAAAATAGTATACTAAATTTCATACATATTGAACTAACAAAGCAATAGACAATTTTTCGTACAAATTTAACAATATATAATACTATATTTTACACAAGTTGAACAAAGTTACGTTGGATGTACGAGGATGAACATCGATGGCCAACCATGAAACATGAACAACTAGTTATTAAAATTGAAAATAGAATTATAGATATGCCTTGTACTTCGATGTATTAGGAGACCACTCTTGACACTTTGTAAATCAATTTTAACCAAAGAATGCAAGCTAACTATCTATTATATTCCAGATTTCCAGCTATATGCAATAGCTTCATTTATTCTAGCCCAACTATACAAAACATGCAATCTATGGAGTAATTCACTAATTCACAGCAGTTATCTGAAATAGATATGATCGTATTACCCATGTTATACGAAATCCTACTCTTTTTTGTAACCAAATATTATCCCAATTCAATTCATTCAATGTAATGAAATCAATCTCATAAATTTATATGCTACACTATGCAGTCCTAGCAAAATATCAAAAATTCTGAAAAACAGAATGAAAACACACAAATTTAAAATATCTTTTACAATTGTTCATTCAAGAGAAGATAATGTCAAAAGTTTTTTTTTTTTTTTTTTTTTTTTTTAAAGAAAATGAAACTAACACTATTTAACAACTGTGCAATTGAAACTTAAACCCCCCAAAATTCTCAAACTCGAGCGCAAAAAATCCAGAAAAAAACCTTAAGAAAAATTAGAGCAGCAAAAATGAGGGAGATCGTAAAGTTTAGCTTTACCACAAATGAAAAATTAGTACCCAAAATCGAGCGAAAATGATGTCACAATTTATGATAATTAACTTTTAACAGATTTTCTCAAATTGAATTGGGGCAACGGATTATGAACTGATGATTATAAAATTGATGATTTTGGGGTTTTAGGTTGATAGAGAGGAAAGCAACGAAAGAATGAAAATATGCGATGGTAAGGGTATACTTGGGTTTTTGGGAGGGTGTGTTAAGTAAGTAAGGATTGTATTTAGCAACCATGAAAATGGACAATGAATTTTATGATTACAAAATATTCTAGTTCAAATCTAAAGCAACACAATTAATGAAAAATAAACACAAAATTTCATTCAAAATTACCTTCTATCATTGATTAACAAATCCACATATTCACCTTCATTAATAATCACTCCATTAACAAACCAATGATCAAAAGCACCACGAAACTCGGTCTAAATGCGCAGCCATCGTCTTTTTACTCTTCTATTAGTAGAATTTCTTTTCCTCTACAAATTTTCTATTTCTTTCTCTAAGATTTTTATTCCTCTCTCTAAAGCTTTCAAACAAGTGAAATTAAAATATGAAGAAATATACAAATTTTTAAATTGTGATTGGGAAATAATCACCAAAACTCTTCAATTATGGAACAAATAATTCATCTAAAAATTGAAAAGCTAGACGTTCTTTGAAAAATACCTACTGTGTATTATGTTCTTTTGTTATTATTTGGTTGAATAAAAATAATATTCATTACATTATATTATCATGTTCTTTATTAATATTACGGATGTTCTTTAGATATATATATATAAAGAACATAAAGTTGGATGTTGTTTTAAGAAATAGATATATGTTTTTTAAAAAATAACTATATGTTCATTACAGAACAACTATATGTGATGTTCTTTATAAAATAGCTATATGTTCCTTACAAAATATTATATGTTTTTTACTGAACAACTACATGTTCATTCCGCCTTTTTTTAAAGAAAATTGGATGCATGAAGCATGGTGCATCTGCATCCGCCTCTAGGGAAAAAATTTCATACCATATGATAGTAATTATCCACTAGTAATAAATGACCGATAACGGCGTGCTTTGGTATGTATTTTAAGTTAGTTTCCTTACCACTTGCAAAATGCAATGTCCTTGATGTGCACTCTAGGTAAGCTTTAGTAGGGTTATTTTATCTCCCTCTAGTTGTTGGTATGAATTTGATGAGGTGCTATAGTGGATAAGAATATGATCATATCATGTCTGTGAACAAGTCGGTGTGTCTTTATCATCCCTACTTACAAATCTAAAGAACTTGTTTTTGATAGGGTGTTATAAGTGTTGGTGAAGCATTAGAGAGTTAAATTACAAGGGTTAGGAATCTTAAGATGCTAGGTAAACTATTCATGGGAGTAAAAGAGAATTGTTTCGGGTCTTTTTTGGATCTCCTGGATACTGGTCACGCTTTGCTGGCAATACGTTGGTCCCACCTGCAAAACCACGAATATTCCGTTCAACGGAATATTCGCCTCCGACGATCAAGTCAGTGATCAGAACAGAAAAAGGGCTAGAGAGAGAAAGTAGAGAGAAGTTGGAGCTATTTAATGCTATGTGTTTTCAATTGTCCGAAAAAATCCCCCCTCATCATAAATGATTGGGGTATTTATAGGGGTGGGATTCGTGCCCCTCTAGGGTTTATACCCTAGATTTGCGTGACGTGATTGGCTGCGCAATCAGCGATCGCCACGTGCCCCTCTAGGGGCGCCGTTTTGCGGCTTTCAGTGTCATCTCTCAGAATTTGGGCCCTGACGTTGTTAAGGCTTTTTGGCGTGCTCTTTTTTAGAAGCATCTTCCCGTGGTACACGTGTCACCCTATGGCTGGGCCACGTGTCACCATGGGATTGGTCTGAGACCTTAAAAACTCTGGATTGCGTGGCATCTTCCCGTGGTGACACGTGTCACCCCATAATTGGGCCACGTGTCACTGTGAGATTGGTCCACGTATACGGGGTATTTTTACCCTCAACAAGAATGACGGGCCTAATTGGACCTGCTTGATATATCTGCTGCCTGAGGATATTTCGTATTAAATTTATTTAAACTACGTCCTTGCTTATTTTTGGTACAAAATTCTTCATAACTTCACCTTAATTGAAATTTTGTGTTAGTATTGATAAGAGTGGCTTATATTATTGTAATATGATTTGTTTTCACCTCTTTTCTTTACTATAACTTGAACATTTGTAGTGCAACTAGTTTAGGGGAATCATAACCATATTGACCTTTGTTAAATTGTGACTCGAAATCTAGTAGGGTTTGACTTTGAACGCAGATATCTCTCAAACTACAAGCAATTTTGAGGTGATTCAAGTTGTAGGAGATAGCTTGGTTCAAGAGATTTCCAACGATAGGTTATATGCCCAATTCTGATAATAAACAAGAAAGTTATGACCGTTTTAGGAAAACCTGACGAAGCTGGAAATTTGCAACGAGGCTGCGAGCTATAGCTCTATGCGAGTGAGCTATAGCTCGGCCCTATGAGGACTTGCGGCAGGCATGAGCTAGCTGCCGAGCTATAGCTCGGTAGTTAGGTTATTCTACGATAATTTATGGAATATTTCTTAAAATTATATCTTTTCTATGACGGCTATTTGAATATAATTGGGGAACAATCTTAGGGTTTTATTAGGGTTTCCATGTGTTATAAAAGGACCCCTTTAGTTGATCATTTAGATCATATATTTTGAGTCATTAGATTTAGGAAAATTTGTCAAGAATATTGTGACCTTTGTCCGGTCTTCCAAAAATAAAACGACCTTTTGATTATCCCGGAATAAAATGACCTTTAACATATATCTTTCATAAATGGGGCGAAACTGGTTGTGACCTGCTTAATGGGTTAAGAGTGACACGTGTCACTTTATAATTGGTCAGTTGTTTTTTAACAATTTTCTTATTAAAAAAATTAATTTTGATAAAAAATGATTTTTTTTTTTAAAAAAGAAAACCCCTTTGCCCTTACAGCCCCCCATCCCCGTGAAGTGAACCCCCACCGTAGCCTCCACCAGTAGTGAAACCCCACCCAACCCTCACCTATGGCCTCCACTAGCCATGAAATTCAACCTCAATAGACGCCACGATAACTTTCACCATTATCACAGCATCCACCCTTACACTCGCCACCTGCATCGATTCGAAAACACCCAGAACCTCCCTATACTTATTGCATTGACTATTACGAGTATTACCCACAAATCAAAGAGTTCCAAATGAACAAATCTCTCTCAATCATTTCATCAAGCACCTTTCATGCAAAACTCATTTCCCCACATAATCTGATGATCCATACATATGTAGCATTTAACACAAACAAATATGATTCATACCCAAGTTTTAATCCATGAACATGAATCTTTTTACCCTGCAAAACATCTGAAACACGACTACATGCCTTAAGAACAAATTTAAAAGTCAAATTTCCCAACCCATAGTTTCTCATATCATTATACATTTATACATATAAATTGCTTTAATTGGATCATCACTTTTGGATAATCCCTTTATCAAATGATTCCATATTAACAACGGGGGTCGTTGAATTTGACCAAACACAATCTGGGCTTTGTGTAATGTGGTTGAGGAGAGAGAATATCATGAGCGCAAAACTAGATAAATTGAATCTGGGTCTTCGTGTTTTTGGGTTTTGATGAAATGACCATAAAGCTCTTTAATGGTGTCCGATCGATTGAGGTTGGGGGAAGACGTGGCTGCCGGATATGTTAAAGGAAGAGGGTGGGTATTTTTTTTTTATTAAAAAAATCAGTTATCTTAATTAAAAAGAAAAATGTAAAAATTTAGATAAAAATTCATAACCTATCACTATGCAACATGTGTCTAGGGTTAACCTTTACAAGAGGTTACCGGTTATTTGATCTATTTATGGAATATGTATGTTAAAGGTCATTTTATTCCGGGATAATTAAAAGGTCGTTTTATTTTTGGAAGACCGGGCAAAGGTCATAATATTCTTGACAAATTTTCCTTAGATTTAAGACTATTTGTATTATTCTCTTGTTTCTTTCTCCATTATAGTGAAGAAGCTCTCGAATCCCCCACCCATGGATGTAGGTCTATTTTGACCGAACCACGTAAATCCTTGTGTTTTTTGTATATCTTCTTTATTGTTTTTCTCGTCCTTAATTTCATTGACTTGTTCCACATTAATCAAACACAATTA